TCGGTAGTAATAAATGGAAGAAAAATCCCGTAACTCCTGCACGAGAAGAGGGGCGCTAATTCGAGCAGGGTAAATTTTCCGCTCGCAAATAGCGGAAGCCTCAACCGTTAGAAAGCCGTGGGGGATGGAAGAAAAATCACATAACTCCTGCACGCAATGAGGGGCGCTAATTCGAGCAGAGGAAATTTTTCACTCAAAAATAGCGGAAGCCACAACCGCCAGAGAGCCAGAGGGAGAAAGAAAGAGAAGTTGCAAATTTTTTAAAGGCCTAGGAGGCCTATTTATAGATTTTTGAGGAAGAAGGGAGAAGTTATTGTCATTTTCGGATTTATCTATTTTTAGAAAAAAAATTATTATTATTATTATTTTTTTGAATTTTTAAACATTTTTGGGAATTTTTTAACCCCAAAAATACCTAAAAATTGTTATTTTTGGCAAAATGGGGCCCACAAAGGCAGTGGGTCGAACCGCCTCTTCTCTCTCCAAGAAACTGCAATTTGAGTTACCAAACGGTCTCCGGTTTTGACAAGCTTATAATTGAATCGATCGGCTCGACGAGACGAATCCAACGAGCCCAAGATCGCCAAATTCCGACATCATTAAGGCCTCCAAATGTCCAATGAATGGTGCACGATCAAAGGGTTCAATATCGGCCGTCCATTCAAACCACTCCCTATTCGCCCATGATCTCACACCTATTTACAAGCTATGCCACTCCAGAAAAACTATAAATAGAGCCCTCATTCTTCACAAGAGGGACTCAAGTGAAGAGAGAGAGAAGGAGTAGAAGGAAGAAGCTACTCCTCGACCATCGCCGGAGCTCTTCCCGCCGCCTGAAGACGCCGGAACTCTGCCGGATTTTCGGGAAACGCCGGGAATTTGCATAACTTTGTAACTTTGTGAGAAGTTGATTGTAAATTGTTCGTCTTGATTTGTAAGACGGATCAACCTTTGTACTTCAAACAAATACTAGTGGAACTTTGCAACTGGGCGAGGCCCCGTGGTTTATTTTCCATATTTTGGGTTTTCCACGTAAAAACTCTAGTGTTCATTTCTCTTTTATGTTTGTGTGCTGAATACTCGTTTAACGCTAAGATGAATATTTTCTAACTCTACTGCCGCGTATATTCTAGCACGTAACAATTAATGTCTGAACCAATTGAAACTCAATTTGATGGGCTGGTTAGAAGTAGGGCTGTAAAAGAATTGAGTCAAGCTCGATTCAGATCTAACTCGAGCTTGACTCGTAAGTCAGATCTAAGCTCAAACACAAGTTTTCCTCAAAAGGCGATCTCGAGCTTTACTTGTGCCACAAAAAACGAGCTAGTCGAGCGGTTCGATTCTACGATTCAAGCATGCATACGTCAATTTGCAGATGCGGTTCACACACGCAGAGGCCAATTTACCTTCCGCAGTTCGCACGCGCTTTGTCGGTTCACATTCCACACTTAGATGATTTGCCTTCCGCCTTTTGAGCCACTCAGCGAACAATCGAGATGAATATCATCTAGATTGAACTTGAGCTTGATAATCCAACGAGCTCGAAATTCTACTCGAGCTGGAAACTCAATAAGCTCGACTCGTGAGCTAGTCAAGCTCGAGCAGGCTCGTTAGTCAGCTTGACTCATTTTGCACCCATAGTTGGGAGCTATATCTACTAACTAATATGTATTGTGTTCGAGTCTTGCATATGTGATGTGTGTATACATTTTACCTTAATTAGCCTAAATGTCAAAATAGTAATTGTAATTGTTGCGTCGTTGATTATTCGCGGTGGTATAGAAATATAAAATTTAACATTTATGCATTGTACGAAGATCTAGCACGTAATCAGACAAAAAGATAGGGTTCAATATTCACAAGAGGCATTAATATTTTTACGTGGAAATTCTGAAAGGGAAAAAACCATGGGCATGCCCCAATTTAAATGAATCCACTAGTATTTGCAATTGATTATAAGTGAGACCATTAATTGGGGGGAAGGCATTGGCTTGATGTAACAAATATATATCATACGGAGTGTGTTGCATGGTGGAAACAGGAAGAATAAATGTTGATGTGTTTGTTTGGTCGAAAGGACCGTAATCGACGAATAATGGAGTTCATAAAGATTGTTGTCTTGGGACGAAGACCGGAATGACCATTGTCGGTGGGTGACAGAGGTCGGAAGGACCGGTTTTTAGCGACAGAGGTCAGAAGAACAGTAGTCGGTGGGTGATGAAGGTCTAAAGGACTGTAGTCGGAAGGCGCTGGAGGTACAACATCATTTGGTGGCCTTGCAAAAGTCCGTCATTAGTTGGTGGCTGGGCAGAAGTGTCACGACCCGACCCGAGACGGATCCCGCCCGCATCGAGCCACGACCAGCTTAACAAACAGACAGACCAGGATCTTGCTTTGGAATTTGCTTCAGAACTGATTCTTCCAAATATTTCAACTCAAAAACAGACACACACACAGAGCTACTATGAAACATCAAATGCAGCGGAACAAATCATCTATATTTTTCTTTTCCTCAAAACAATCATCTACAAATACAGTACATGGCTGACAGAAAGAACAAAGAATAAAAACCATGACTGTACAAAAATAAAAAAATACAAAATACATATAACTGACCAGACTCTGAACTCTAGTCCAAGACCTCCTTCCCTTTCCCAGAACCTGAAAACCACGCAGAAAACAAGGGTGAGCTCAACAGCTCAGCAAAGCAACAAATCTCAAATCAAAACTTTGAGAATCCAAAACCAAACACTTCAAACCAAATCCGTACATAAACCAGAACAGAATTAGACAGATATCAAAATCGTGCAGATCAGAACGAAACAGATCAAATCAGAACAGATACGGACATATATCAAATCAGAACAGATCTAAACAAAACAGATCAAATCAGAACTGATCTAAACGGAACAGATCAAATAGAATTGATCTAAACGGAACAGATCAAACAGAACTGTACGGAAACAGAAGTCATATCAAATCAAATATCAGATAGTATTGTAATTAATAGCTAAATTCCTTGACACTGACAGAATCTCTACGGATTCTGGCCCCTTATACCTCCCTTTGTGCTCACGGCACCAGAACAGATGTGCTTATAGCACCAGAACAGATTTCATCGGATCCGGAACAGAACATATATCAGATTTCAGATTGAGCTCATTTCAGATTTTCCATACACTAACTGAATCTCTTAGGATCCAGGCCCCTTATAACTCCCTTTGTATAGCATATACATATAGCATATCAATTCAGAAGAAATCCAGACGAATTAAGAAATCAGACAAAAATCGGGCAGCACAACGGCTGTATACAGAATTTACACAATTTTCCTGAAAAATCATAGAATACCAAATTTGCACAGAATATAGATAACAACATTTCAAAACATTTATTCTATTGCCACGGCATTTAATATCATCACAGAAAAATGCAGGCGAAATAAAACACGCCGAATTCAAAATACCCGGACAAAAATATCCAGAAAATAACCAAAATGTGCACACTCGGCACGTCAATAACATACGGAAAATCACGCGGTAAAAACTGAACCAAACGGGAAATACGGACGAATATCACTAACAAAAATCAATTCCGGACAAAAAATACCGCCAAACACGACGGTTCTGAAAATTGAGAAAGGCGGATTGTGCCTTACCTTGCGTACAATAATATCTTCAACAGTCTCGTCGAACGAAAACGGACCCGCGTCTTTCCGAAATCAACTTTTTCCTTTTCTTTTCTCTTTCCTCAGATCTGAAATCGGATTTTAAATTTTTATTTTTCTCTCTCCTCGAAATTACCTGATTTCCTTAAGTAATGCTCAGATCGGCCCGGCCGATCGTCTCGATCGTCCTGGACGATCAGACCAATTTCACATCGTCCTGGCCGATTCCCTGGACGATCCTCAGGACGATAATTAATTCTAAAAAAGTCATGCTCTCTGTCTTTTGCCATCCACTGATCGTCTCGGGACGATGCCTCGATCGGCCCGGACGATCAGACCAAAAATAATCGTCCTGAGACGATTCTTCAAGACGAAAATAAATTTTTCTTGGACTGTGCTCTCTGACTTTTGCATTGAACTGATCGGCCTGGGATGATGCCCCTATCGGCCCGACCGATCTTGGGAGGAAAATCACCTAGAGCAATCTGGGCAAATTCTGGAGCAAAACTTCAACTGATCGTCCCAGGACGATCCCAGATCGTCCTGGACGATCCTGGAGCAGAAACAAAACTTCACAAGAAGTCCGACGATAGGCATAATCCTATGATGGGCATAAGTTAAACGTCAGGTAGACATTCAGTGACTGGCGGAAGTCAAGCGTCGGGTAAAAGTTGGCGACATGCATAAGTCTGGCAACAAGTGGAAATCCGATGTTCGGTAGAAATACAATGACGGCCGACGGACGAACAGAACTCCAGCTTTAGTTGGTCGTCGAGCAGAATTCTAACGTCGGTCGGCTGTCGGGCAGAACTCCTACTTCGGTCGACTGTCGGGTGAAAATCCAGAGGTAGTCGAAGAGGAGTTTCTTCCTTCTTTTCCTTTTCTTCCTTTCATCTTGCTTGATTCCTGCGCCAGTTAATGATCGGGCAGAACTCTGGCGTCAGTCAAGTGCTGGCTGCCGGGTGGAAGTTCAGTGGTGGTCGAGGAGTCTCTTTCTTCTCTTCCTTTTCTTCATTTTCTTCTTGCTTGGGATTCTTTCTTATTTACAAGTGGAATTATTTCAATTTGAATGATATTTAAACAAATGAAAAAAAAAATTGATTGATAATTATTTTATCTTAATTCAAAACAGGCTTAGGTGAATACAGCTAATCATATTATTTCTTATCTCAAAATTGTGGTTATTCAATATTTGTTAATTGATTATTTATTTATTTGAATAATTTTTTTAAACTACTTTAATTTTAGTTGGTTGATGGAATAATCTTATGTCAGTTGATTAATAATTTATAATTAATATGTGATATTGTTAATAATGTTGTTGCGTCTTGGGGTATTCATAGCAATAGAGAAATATATAATTTAACGTCTAAGCGTTGCACGAAGATCTAGCATGCAATCAGATAAGAGAGAGGGTGTAGCATTCATAAGAGATACCCGAGTTTTTATGTGGAAACCCCTTAAAAGGGAGAAAAACCACGGGGTCTGGTCCAGTTTGAATAAATTCACTAGTATTTGCAGTCGATTACAAATGAGACCCTTCATATGGAGATGACCTTGGCTTGATGGTACAAATGTATTAATGTACATCATATAGTGCACATTACATGGTGGGAGTTACAATAATCAACAAAGACATGTTTGTTTGTCCAGCAAGACCATGGTTGACAAGATAGATGTCGGAAAGATCGTTGTTGGCAGGAGACCGGGGTCAGAAAGACCGTTGTCTAGTGATGGAGGTTGGAATGACCATAGTAGGCGATGGAGGTCGGAAGGACCGTAGTCAACAAGAGACAGAGATCCAAAAGACTGTAGTTGGCAGGAGACCGGAGTCAGAAAGACCGTTGTTTGGTGATGGAGGTCGGAACGACCATAATAGGCGACAGAGGTTGGAAAGACCATAGTTGGCAGGAGATAAAGGTCCGAAAGATCGTAGTTGGAAGGAGACCGAGGTCTGAAAGACCGTTGTCTGGTGATGGAAGTCGGAAAGACCATAGTAGGCGACAGAGGTAGGAAGGACCATAGTCGGCAGGAGACATGGGTCAGAAAAACTGTTGTAGTAGGGTGGTACTCTGGGCGTTAGGTGGCGGCCTAGTAGAAGTCCGGGCCTCGAGTGATGGTATGGTAGAAGTATGAGCCTCAAATGGTGGTCCGGCAAATCTCAGGATCTCAAGTGGTGGTCCGGCGGAGCTCAAGGCTTCAAGTGGTGGTTCGGCGGAGCAATGACGTCAGGCGGTGGTCCGGCGGAGGTGAGGGCTTGAAGTAGTAGTCCGGTGGAGCTTAGAGCGTCATGTGGTGGTCTAGCAGAGCAATGACGTCATGCGGTGGTCCGACGGAGGCGAGGGTCTCAAGTGGTGGTCCAGCGGAGCAACCACGTCAGGCGGTGGGCCGGTGGGGGTGAGGGCCTAAAGTGGTGGTTCGACGAAGCAACAACGTCAGACAGTGGTCCGCACGGGGGTGAGGTCCTGAAGTGGTGGTCCGACGAAAACGAGGGCGTCAAGTGGTGGTCCAACAGAGCAACGACGTCAGACGGTGGTCTGGCGGAGGTGAGGGCCTGAGGTGGTGGTCCGGCGAAGGCGAGGGCCTCAAATGGTTGTCCGCCGGAAGTCTGGCGTTGGTCAAGGAGGAGCTTCTTCCTTCTCTTCTTCCTTCTCCTATCTTCTTCTCTTCTTGCTCTGGTCCCTTTCAAGAGAAATGAGGGTCTATTTATAGTTTTATGGAGTGACATGGCCCGTAAATAGGTGAGAGAACAAGGATAAATTGGGAGTGGCTGGATGGACGGCCGATATTGAATCACTTGATCGTGGACCGTTTGTTAGACATTTGAAGATCTTAATAATGTTAGAATTCGACGTTCTTGGGCTCGTTGGATTCGTATCGTTGAGCCGCTCGATTTGGATATAAGCACGTTATGTTTGGAAATCATTTGATAATTTAAATTGTGGTTCAAACCCTCCAACAACGCTTCAGACCATTGATTTGGACCCATTTGGGCTCGGATTGAGTTGAATTTGGTGTCGTTGGGTTTGTATTTCCGAGACGTTCAGTTCGACTATAAGTTTGCTGAAATCGGAGTCCGGATGGTCTCAATTTTAATTTCGGAAGTTTCCAACTTGATTTTGCATCGAGATTCGTGTCCGATTAAGATAATTTTTTGATGAAGTATCAAATGTTAATCTACCTTGTTGGTTCTTTGAGTCCCTCCAAGGGACGTGGAGGAGAAAAAATTAAAACGTATGTGAGAAAATCAAAATGAACTGATGTAACTCTTGATATAATACAATCGATAGGTGGTGGGCCAAAGTTATTAGCATTGTTTTTTTTTTTTTTTTTAATTTTATAAATGAAACCTTGATAATTTATAAGCTATTAGCATTTATTATTTTAGACCGTAGCTTCCAATTATGGCCCACATATTACACACTTCGGCTTCATTTGATACCATTTACAAACTGCTTTCTATAGTAAATTTTTAGTAAAAAAAATATCTTAAAAGCAGCGAGAAACGGTAGTCAAAACTCAAGGCTTTGTTTGAGATAGCTTTTTTGCTGCTTCTTAAAGCGATTTTTTAGTAAAAAATTTAAATGTTTGTATTACACAGCTGCTTCAAAAAGCAGTAAGAAAGCCTTCTCAAATAAAACTTTAGACATATAACTTATTACTCGGCTTGATGCCCATCAAGCGCTAGCAAGCGAAAGCTTGCTCAACTAATTTCTTTATTTTTTTTAAGCTTCCCTCTCTCCTCTTCAAATACTTTTTCCTAAACTGCTCGATGACATGCCTAGAAATTTTGTGGTAATTATTAATCAATATGTTCAACCACAAGTGTTAAGTATCATTAACAATAATCATCATAGAAATCCTATATTTTACAATGCTATGATCATGAACAGTTGGCACACATTAAGTAGATATTAATTCATTATCTTCTTTGTCCTTAGTTATTGGATCAAAGAGTTTTTTTTGTTTATTCTCTCTAATATTGATTTTGCTAAATGATTAGTCTCGAATGGTGTCAAAATTAAAAAAGTTGCCTTTGTTTGAGGCAACTTTCTTATTGTTTTTTAAAGCTGTTTTTTAATAATTAGATTTTTTTTGCTAATAAGTTGCTTTAGAAAGTTGTTTCGAACGAAGCCTTAATTAACTTAGGGTGGGAAGTTAAGCTGCTCTATAGTCCCCTGCCACCTGCAATTCTTGATGTTTCCACCATGGTTAGTTTGGAACAACTTTCTTCCTACTTCTTAAAGTAGTTTTTTAATACAAAAATTAAAAATTTTGTACTAAAAAATTACTTTAATAAGCAGCAAAAAAACTGTTCCATATGAACTTATGAAGCTTGAATCTCTTCTACCAAGAATGCCATGTCTACACCGCAGGGGTTGGAGGTGCAGCTTCTTTTAATAGAGAAATCTATAAACGCAGTTCATGTAATGAAAAAAATGGCAAGACTTAGGCTTCGTTTGGGACGACTTTTTTACTGCTTTCTAAAACGGAGTTTTAGTACAATTTTTTTTTTATTTTTGTACTAAATCTTTGTTTTAGAAAGCAGCAAAAAAGTCGTCCCAAACAAAGCCTTAGTCAGGATTAAATAGCCTACTATTTATATAAAATGTTACACAAGTTTGCTCTTCATATTAGGTTAGCAAATGATATTACAAATTATGAATTGTTGGCTTAGCCTTATGAGGATGTTGTAGAGAATATCAAAGAAATAATTAAGGGTGATTATGCCAATCAAGAGACCTGCATTAGTAAAAAAATGTCCATGTCGAAAATGAAAGAATGAGCGTCGAGTGAGGATAGTTGAACGTTGATAGTTTAACGACGATAGTTGGGAGATGTTGGTTAGGTGATGGTTGGCTGATATTGGTTAGGTGATAGACCAAAAATTGCGTGGCAACAATTGTTGGTAGTGTTCTTTAGAAAGAACTTTAGGATATTCAGACTTCTAAGTTCTCTCCAATTACAAGCCATCTCCATGTGAATAATGTCGTCTATTTTATATTTAACGGAGTGTCATTTTTTTATCATAGATGATTCCTTAGACATTTAAACTTTGTAATGATATTGAATTAAGCTATATTAGACTAATTTGATTTCTCCAATCGAGACTCTCAGTGTGATTATAAGCATTTCAGATTTAGAGATAATTTCATTCTTTAAATACTATCATTAAGTTTTCAAGTATATTGAAACTGCTTGATTTTGACTAACTAGAAATCAAATCAAAATAATTTAGTTTCTTAGATTCATTTTGCTAAAATCGTCACATTGCTAATAAATTTGGAAAAAAAATTACTAATTTAATTTAGGAAATTTACAATTGAAGCCTTGCTTTAAAATTCGTGCTCAAATATAAGGAATTTTGGTGATGCATTAAATTCAAACCAAATATTAAAAAAGTAAAAATTCATGAATATCTTCTTGTTAAACTCCTAATATTTTTCTTAAAATTTTATTATATATATAATTGAATAGATTTGCAATAAAATAACTCATAAATTTATTTATTTTAAATAATTTATCATCATCAAATTCTTTAATTAAAATTCTTAACTTTAAATTTAGATAAATAAATAAAAATAATTAATTATTTATACAATATACTCACCATCCTTTTTACTTTCACTCCTTTAACCAAACATCGTGAAGCAAAATGGCTACCCCTTCCCGCACCGGCGCCACTACGCATCTCGGATCGGTCCGTCTTGCTCGGTAAAAATCCAAGGCAATCGCTATCATGAAAGGTTCAAAACACGCGGGAGCGGTCCACCGCCGGCCGCCCGTCTTCTATAACCTTCATCATCGGCCGGCAGGTCAAGGGGCTCGAGACTTGTCGTCGTCTGCAACTTCTAATAGCTTTTATGTTCTTTCTTGCTGTGATGTTCAAGTCAGACGTTGTTCGCACCTGCGTCATCATCATAAGTGGGGGGGAGGGAGGAACGGGAGGTCGCGATCGTCTCTTTTCCCTCTTTTTCCCGCTTTTATTATCGTATTCATCTCGGCAATTATTTGTTTCCCAGTTCGACTCGGAAATTGTTGCGGCTATATGTGGAAGGAATTTATAGAAACTTTCAGAAGGGTTGAACTCTCTCGTCGCAGTTTACAGAGTTTCGTTTTGACTCGGCTCGCGAGGGGGCATGACGACTAAGATTGTGGCAGACGACAGCGGTGGTAGGGCCAGCCGCTTATATCGTCAGGGCAACGAGTGGTACACCTCTTCCCCTTTAATTTCATCTTTCAGTAGTTCCTTTTGTTTTTTCCTCATCTCTGCTCTTTTTTGATCGTCAAGTCTTGCTTGCACTGTCGCCTTAATAACTTGATTGGTTCATAAGCGAGGACTGGACATGAAATATTGTCCTTACACTATCGATACTTAGTCGTTCGATTTATGCTTGCTCTGTGTTATTACCTGAACACGAAATATGAGACAACCACCATAGTTGTGCAAGTGGAAGTGAAATGGCTTGATTCTAACCACATCTTTTCTATCATTGGCTGGAGGGAACCAAAGTTTGGACTAATTATGCAAACAGGTCGAACATGAAAGTACTGTGTAATGTCTTGTTCGCTTCATTAACCATAGAGTTGAACTAGAATGAGCTAAAATTTGTCAAGGAAAAAAAAGAAGTTCGGTTAGGCTTATTTATTGTCGAGTTGAACAAAACAAATAGACAAATTGATGATATAAAATGCATCGAACAAACAACAAACCAAGTTAAATTTTTAATTGTACTGTAAATGTCCCTGTTTGAATTGAAGTGATTAAAGATCGAGCAAATAAATTTAACGTCTTATTCAAGTTTAAAAGTACTAGCATGCATGGTGTGATAGTTAAGTTCTTAGTAAAATCCTTTTACTTTTTAAATTGAAAATTATATTATGTCATTATTCAAATTTAAAAGTAATGCCGTACATGATGTGATTCTTAGCTTCAAATATTTTGTAATTCATATTCAAAGCTTTCTCATATGATTTAATAATGATGCATGATTTGATTTCAAGTTTAAATGCATTTGAATTTAAATCTAAAAAATTGTTATATGGCGGGCATAGTTTGTGTCCCACGGACACAGGAATGTTTTATACTATGTCATGACCCAGCTATTTGAATCTTAGTTTAAAAATTAGAACATAGTCGAGTTGGTTATTGTTTATTTTTAGTTTATTTAGTACACTATCTTAATTTGGTCTGTGTAGTTGAACAATTCGAGTTGGTTGTTATTTGTGTTTTGCTCTTTTAGTACACAACAAGGAAAATGATTGTTAATTTCAACTTGTTTTCTTTTCAAATGAATTGAATTTATGCTAGTTATTAAGACAAGAAAAAGTTATCCGTGAATGTCAACTTTGTTGACACCTCTAGCTTCTACTTCAGTGAAGAGCTATTTGTAGAGAGAAGAAAAGGATTCCAAAAACCATGAATGATGGTTAATATAAAAAATTGACTAATCTATTCATACAGTGATCCACAGTTGTAAGTATAGTTTGTAATGTTTTGCCTTATAGCACTTTTATTCAGCCTTTCAGACCACATATTTGATTTTAAAAGAAATATGCAACTCAAGGTCCTATATTGCATGCACATTTCTTCTAGTGCTTCAGTACACTAGGAAACATGGTTGTAGAATTCATCCATTTCTGTATTTCATACAAACAACACATAAACAACATAACATTGCTAAATTTAGTGAATAACTTTTACTATATCCAAGTTCATTGTTTTGAAGAGTAACTTGATTGATTGAAAATTTGAAATAACCTAATTGATCTAAGTATCAATGTAGATTTGCTATATTGACTTTATTAATTAACTAGGATGTTATCCATAAGTCATGTGTTAGAATTTGACCATTTTTCCTGAAAAGTAAAGATTTGCAAGAAAGTTGATCGGAAATGATGCGATACAACTTCACTCCATTACGGTGAAAACTAGGCACAAGTTTCCTAGAGTCTCTCGCTAGGAATGTACCACAATTTAACCTAATGTGATAATAAGAAAGCAAGGGTTATATATGTCTAAAATAAGGATTAGATTTTGTACTTAGATTTTGGGTGCTTTGAATAGAAAGATGAGTAGTTGTGCATGCAATGATTAGAAGAAAAATAAATAGTGCTCTTTGGTGAGAAATTTGATGGAAAAGGGGAAAATTCTAAAATTTTAGGAAAGTTATTTTCCTCTAAAATTATCTATCGTCATTTGAAGAATATTGGGGAAAATTTTAAGTTATGCTATGCTAGAAATGTTAACAATAGAATTGTGGTTCGATAATAGTGCATAGGGAGTTGAAAGATAAAATTATTTAGGTAAATAGGGTTAGTGTTAGGATGATTGTTATTAACATAATTATTGGGGAGAATATTATAAATGTGGTCAGTGCATATGGCTCTCTAGTTGAATAAGAAGATAGCTTAAAAAATTAATTTTGGGGAGAGCTGGAAGTGAATACTTAAATAGATATATAGGCTATAGCAGGATGACTATGAAGGAATTATTGATGGGGTGTGAAATAGGAGATCAAAATCTATAGGAGAAATTATGTTGCAATAGAGAATGCATACTTTAAGAAAGAGCATCAAATTTCCTTTAAAAGTGGATTATCAAATTACAAATAGATTAATTTTTTGTTTATAAGGAAAGAAATTTTTTAGTGAAGAGAGGGTTTGACCAAATAGCATAGGGTAGTATCTTAAGAAAATAAAGAAAATGATCAAAATAAATAATTGTACTTGAATAAGATAATGGAATCTAAAACATGAATTTTTCTTTTAATTTTTAAATTAAGTTGTTAGGAGATGTATATTAGAATTCTTTTGTTGCATCATATCTAATATGGGATCATATGACTATCTCCACTAATAAGATTACCTTAATTTCTTTTTTCCTTAAGTGATTCCTCTAGATTGTATTTTGATATTTTTACTTTCTCTCTTTAAGAGTTCTTTGGTTGAGTCAAATTTATTGTGGGATAAGATGACTAATTCCATTAAGAATATAACTTTTATCTCCTTTTTTCCTTTAGTTATTTCTCTTGATTTTATTTTGTTGTTTTCCTTTATCTCTTTGTGTGAAATGTTCAAAATTTCTTATATATAGAGTGATAAATCCCAGCCGTCCCTTGGCCCTTGATCCCATGGTCAGCATGAGAATCCATGGGAGGGTCACCTTATTAAATCCCAGCTATCCCTTGGGCCCTTGATCCTAAGGCCAGCATGGGAATCCTTGGGAGGCTCATCTGGATCACGTCAATCTCCTTCTTGATTTGGGTGGCTGATTTAGGAAGGATTATATTAGGGCAATTATGTATTATTCCGTAATTAGTTGTTTCCTTATTATGATATCTTGTATAGATCTATAAATAGGGATAACTTTGTGCAATAAATTAAGTCTTTTCCCTCTTCAATTCTTTGAATTTAACATAGAAGACACTTTGATAGAGAATCTTAATAATAATACAAATACAAGAAATTCACAAAGTTTCACATCCCTCTCTCATAGGAGTAGCCAACCCTTCCCTATTCTCCCTTTGTCTCTTCTCTCTCTCTCTCTCTCTCACACACACACACACACACACACAAAGTTAAGATGGTGGTGAGACCTGCAATGCTTTATGGTGCAGAATGTTGGCAATTAAAAGAAAAGCATAATATTAAGTTAAGTGTTGTAGAGATGAGGATGCTTAGATGGATGAGTGGCTTTAATCTTAGAGACAAGATATGAAACGAGCATATATGAGAAAAGGTTGGAGTAGCCAGTGGAAGATAAAATTAGAGAGAGTCGCCTTAGATGGTTTGGTTACATAAAAGGGCGGCCTTCCGATGACCCGGTTAGGAAGGTAGATTTATTAGATTTGGCTTGTATTTAAAAAGGTAGAGGGAGACCTAAAAAGTCTTTGTTAGAAAATATTAGAAATGACCTTTCTTTATAAGATTTAAATGAGAATTTTACTCTTAACATGACACAATAGAGAAAAAAGATTCATGTAGCCTACCCCACGTAGTGGGATAAAGGCTTGATGTTGTTGCTTTATGTTGTTGTTGTTGCTTAATATAAAGACTAGAAAATATTGATATTAAAAAGATGTTATTTCATTTGTTACAGTAGAGATGTGTTTAAGGCATTATCAAATACTTTTGTGTCATTTTTTTTAGTATTGCATGTTTCATAGTTGTGTTTCTGTTCAATTAATTATAGTCATTTTAGAAGTGAGTAAATGTCATTATTGATGTTAGAGAACCACATAAACATATGCTTACACATTGACACATGACCCTCATCATTACATGTTTCTTTCCTTCTTTCGGATTGTGATTTTTCTGTATGATAAAAAAGGCTAGGAAATATTGGCAATTTATAAATGTTTATGTTGTTCATCTAATATGCTTTTTGACGCTATCAATTCATCAAATAACAAATAAAGATGATATATAACTTTGAGCTTTGATGCCAGGTATTGTCATTGTGATAGTTCTAATATACCTCGTGAAGCAGTTTTCAATTCCTGAGTTTCTGTATGGTTTCTTATGCGTTACAGGTTTTGTAGTACCAGTCTTAAGAGTGATATTGCTATTGAAGTTGAGGGAACACTTTTTCATCTTCACAAGGTATGTATATCTAAGTTTCGGTTCGTACTATGCAGTTGTTTACATATTTTCTTTATGAAATGACTAAAATCCAATCCATGCTCGTTTGTCAGTGCAACTTTTTTTCTTTGGTATATCAAATGCACGTTAAAACCAGGACTGGTAGGTTGCATTACCATGCCATATAGCATGACAAGGGAAGAGATTGGACATTGAATTGCTAATGTAATAGTCAGATAAATCTTCACATAACAGAGGAGGCCGGGGTAACATGTTGGAGTTTTCAAAATTTTATTCCATCTGTCAAATGCCTCGGGGAGCCTGTTGACTATGTTCTTACTATATCTTCGTGTCTTTTTTTTTTTTTAATACTTAAAATAATGATATGATGGATGGAGGTGAAGAAGATGAGTCTGGAACTATAGATGGGATGGGAGCAACCTTCCTTCGGATTCTAGGATGAACTAAGTGTATGAATTATTTTGGAGCTTTCACAAGTCAATGTGAGCAACAACTCGAGAGCACATTTCAAATTTTTACGGCTTAACAATTCCTTTAATACTTAGCTTGGCCATGTTAGGACATCCATAATATGTTGTGTTATTGAGGATCCAAACTGGTAAAAAACTACTTGCATTCAAATGATGAATCTAGCCCATTGCTAACTAAGAGGGTTAGTCAGGTGAACGTTAGAGGTGATCAGCTTGCCTACAACCTCTAGTTTGGTCCTTGTGGATTATGGGGGAAAAGATGTGGAGCATTCTAGTGATGGTCCTTGATGAACAAATGGGGGAGCCTATGAGAGTTTACTGATAAGGGATTTCAAGAAAATAGAAGTGGTCAAAGTGATTGTTAAAGTTGTTCCAAAGAAGGGAAAGCCCTTGATTTTGAAGAAGATAGGAACGGGGAATCAAAATAGTTACACTCATAGTTTGTTCGGTGAATATTGTAGTCTATTGACGGGTCTGCTTAGCTTACTATCATAAGTGCTTCTCAACTTGAGCTCTCTTTCATGTGCGATGAACTGCCACATTGGATAAGTAGTATTCTTAAATGCAATAATATAAGGTATTTGCCCTCTCTAAATAATTCCCATGCTAATTAATGGACTGGCCTATATGTTATTAGGAGACATTAATGAACCATACATGTTTTTGAGTAGTTTGATGTTCCATGGCCTAACAAGTGCAATGAGTTTCATTTACATCCTTGTTTGAATTATATTGCATGATGATGGTAATTTGCATCAGTCATAGGAATTGATGTTAGTAATTAGAATGATTAAGGCATAACAATGATAATAATTAACATCTCAAGTTTAGATTTTACTAGACTCCCTCTAAGAAAAACCAATTTTCATTAAAATCTCAAGTAATAGATTAAATTTATTGCATTCTACCAAAGGCCAATAATAGAAATGTACTTGAATAGCTTCAAAGATCTAATCATGCTAAAGCATGGTAGAGTTTTTTTACGCTTGATTTGTGATATGAAGTAGAGTTTATGGCATAACTCTATCATTTGATTGGATGCCAAGTTTCTTTCTTTGGGTTACTAGGTTCTTGTTTTATGTTGGAAGTATTTTTTATTTGCAATTTTTTTCCTATTTATGAAATTAATCAGGACTAATGTTGTCATCTCCCATTATATATTTGCAATTTTTTTCCTATTTATGAAATTAATCAGGACTAATGTTGTCATCTCCCATTATAATAGAGATATAAAGAGGGTGGTTGGGAAATTAGTCTGAGTACACTAAAAAGGGATGAAAATTGGTTAATAAGTTTTTTTAAAAATTAATAAAAATGAATGATTAAATCAATTTATTTCACACACAGAAAAAAAAAGAGATTAATAGATAGTGAAGCAGGAATATCAAAATCTTATTCACAAAATAGACTTCATTTTTTTAGTGGTTTGAATTCTTACATATGCTTATATTCACTCTCCAAGTCCCCTTAGTAACTCTGCTAAACTTGGTCTATCAATCCATTAAGAAAAAAACCAACACTCCTTTTTGGTGGCTTGGAGAATAAATGAAGATCTTTGTCCCTTCAAGGTGAATAATAGACGATAACTCAATCACGAAATGCTAGATACACTAGCTTAGTTACAACAAAGTAAGAGAAAAAATGTTAGAAGGGGGAGCTTTCTACAAAACCAAAGTTTTCTACTTGATTGACTTACATGAGATGAAAATTATGAAAATCATTGAGAAGATTAAGAATTACAAGAATGAAAAACTCAACTAGAGAAATCAAGTCACAAGTAGGGTGGTTTGCAAATATAAACTCGGCTATGCTTGGAGAAGGAAGTTTGGGGAGCAAGGGCATGAAGAGTTAAAATGCCTTTAGTATGGGCATTGTTTATGATCAAGAAGGCACATTGGATGCTGGCTGAAGTGGAGGGAGAGTTGTTGGAATGAGTTCGAATCAGGTTTTGTGATATTGCAAACGTGCAACTTTATTGGTTAATCAAATTTCTCTCTTCAAAAGACAAATTAATCTATTGAAGTTTCTTTCACCAGTTAGGACACTTTAGTGGTGTATCATTATGAAAACATTTACCCAATGGTAAAAGGGGATAATAGATAAGTTAAGAAATCATTATCCCAAAAGACAAGAATACCTATTCTAACCAAGTTCTAGAACTTGGTGGACCATAAACTTGATTGGATGGTTTGGGCCAAACAAGGTTGGTCAAGTTTGTGAACTTGACTAACTATGATATGGTTGATTAATCTCACCTTGATTGGGAGTGCATGACCTTGATTGGGTAGCCAACTTTGCCCAATGGCTCACAACAGAGCTTGTTGGTGACAAACTTGACCGACTGAGAAACTTCGCTAAGTTTCTTGGGTAGACTTGGTTGACTAACTTTGGTGAACTTGGTTTGCTAGAAACTTGGTTTACTAACTTATTTTTGGCTATTTTATTAGGTTTCAACTATTGGATTCTCTATAAATCGAGGTTCATGTGGTATTTTATGGTGGTAACTTAATTAAGTATGCAAGAAATTGTTGAAATTAAAACCCCTTTAAATTAGGACTTGGCAAGGCTTGTTGGGCTTATAAAATATAACCAAAGATATAGGAATGTAAAGGTTTTTCCCTTTATGTATGAAAAACCTTGGACTTAAGCAATAATCAAAGATAAGGGCTAGTCCAAAATACTAGAATATTTTTATTTATCAAAATATACGAGGTTTCAACACTCTCCTTTTTTTATAATGACAAATAGTATAGAGAATTTTGATGTAATTCCCTTGCTCACCACAAATTTGAGCTAGTTTCCTGAGAAGTTGAAGTGCCTTGGAGCTCAGGTAAATGCTCCATAATGAGTTCCTCATCTAAGTGAGGGGAATGGTTAGAAGAATAGGTTGAGGGTCCAAGCGTCTCCTCATTAAAGCATTGATTGGTTTTTTTGGGATAATAGCTAACAAATTACATTTCCATAGTATAGAGATTGTGCCATTTTGTCAAACTAGTAGATGTGAAAGTTAAAAGAGGATATATATAATTTTAAGAAAATGGCCTTGCAAAAGTTGCTAGACAGTGACCAAATGTAATTTGGTTCAATCGATCTTGTGAATGCATACCTAAATGACATTTGTCTGCATGAAAGACCAAATATGTTTGTAAATATCATTTTGAGAGGATGATTTTTCAATCGGCTTGCCAACACATTATATGTCACTCTGTCACTGCTTCAACGAATCAAAGAGTAGAACTTAATATGCATTTATTTATGAATCAATTTGAATATCCTTTTTATGAATGTGCATCATTAAGTGTGTGAATATTCATGTGACTATTGACTACATCCACCCTAAAAGTCAAGTTTATATTTGGAAGATTGACATAAATTTGCTTAAAACTCCCTTACTACATTTAGTTTGCAAGGGGTCCTGTGGAGTCAAGAACTTTAACCATTATTGGTGATCAATAATGGCTAAAACTTTGGGGTTGATTTTATCCTTTGATGGAGTTTGGTTTGGAGAACCTTGTTTCTCTCATTAGCACTAAATAGAGTGACACTTCAATTGATGATGAATTGATAGTCCTTATCTCTTTTTTTCTATTATCTCTTCTCGAAGGAGAATTTGTCAAAGATGAGATTTAAAGTTCCTTGAACACTAAGAGGTATTGAGAAGAATCTGTGAAGGAAAAAAGATGAAGTGGATATTTCAAGGGCTGTCATTGTTCACCTTAGAGCAGACCTTTAGAATGGATGAATATCCTTTCTACTTAAGCATTAAAGAGAGGTTTCGCAAGCTTGAGGAGACTCCTTTTGGTGAGGGGAAAGAGGGTTTGGCGGCTAAGAGGAGAAAAGGGATGGAGTGTAAGGTTCCTTAGGTTTATACCTAGAATATAGTAAGCAAGTCTGAGCGATTTGGTCAAGTTCAACTAAGTTGGCTGGTCTCAACTTTGTGAAGCTTTCAAATTGAGTGGGGAGTTGGTCTATTTAACTAAATTCGATAAACCCTTAATATGGCTGGGCTACTTTCACAAGATACTTCATCAATTGAAAGTTGATATGGTGACATAACTTGGCATACCTTTATTTATTTATTTTATATATATTTTGAGACTTGTCCATATATCATGATTTAGGCTTAATGAATCTTTCATTCCAATCTAGTCTTATGGTATTAAATTGATCCCCATGCAATGGTTTAGGAAAAATATGTTATATATTTACAAACACTAAAAAGTATTTCATTTGTGAATATTATATCTATAAGCGACATTTAATTTCAATGTACTATGTGTTGGATAGGTTTTTTAGTTAGTAGTGGAATCCTAGTATTATAACATCTAATAAACTTATTTTTCAATGATAAACCATAATCAATTAGTTTTTTTAACCATATGAGTTGAACATAACTACTACCACAATATATTTAGCTTCGTAGAAAGTGCAATGGAGTTGCTTGTGACTTGACCAAGAGTTTAGGGGATTCCACAAAAAATTGTTAAGTACATACTCTTACGATAAATTAACAATAAAAAAATCAATTTTGGAAAATCCTACTTGGTGTTGAGTGGTACCCTTGGGGGTATCAAATTCCTCTGCGTATGCACTAGTAAGATATCTAATAATTGCTTTTAAAGAAGGTTTCTTTGGAGAGGCTTGAAGTCTTGCACACATGCAAACACTTGAGACTATTTTGGGTCTGCTTGCATGTGTAATTAAAGCACTAATCATACAACAAAGTTTTTTTATTCATATTCTTTCTATGCCCATTATGAGCTAGCGTTATGAAAGGACTCATCAATATTTTCTTTGTGCTTGATTTGTAATCCAACAAAATAATTTTGTTCTCCCATTATACTCATTATAGCAAATTCCTTACAAATAATTTTGTTCGTAGCATGCCAAACAATATTAACATGAGATCAGACTACTAATAAAGTGCATTTTTTTTTTCTTATAAACAATGTTGTGCCAACTTTCTCTTTGATAAAAACGTTATCTACATGTTAGTAGCATGATAAATGATATCAACATACGAATGAATGGATAATATTTTGTCCTTTTTTATATATAAGCTTGTGCCAACTTTTTCTTTAACAAAAAAATGTTATCTACAAGAAATTGAAGTCCTTTAGACCAACCTTTTTAGGAGCTTGTTTTAATTCATATAATGAATTTTTGAGCACAAATATATCTACATAGAATATACTAATTAACAAGTGAAGAAAGAGAAAATCTTGAAAAATTTGCTTGCCTTGAGGAGCTAGATTTTGGAATAAAATTTCTATAAACTTATAATTATAGAAAAAAAAAATGAAATTTACATCTAAGAGCAATCAAAGAATGCAAACAATTAAAAAAAAATATCATGCACGATTGAGGTTGGGGACTGAGAAGTGTTAAGAGTTATAACTTGATAATTGGATGGATATGAAACAAGTCAAATTTTTGAACGTCACTTCAGAATTAATGTCATTGGAATTTAACTATTCATAATATTTTTATTTCGGTGTTGATGTCATTGAAATTGAACTACGTATAAAACAAGGATTGAAGATCGTCACATGTCTCTCTTGACAAAGGCAAGGTCAACATGATCGTTGATAAGTTTGAGGAGTAGGGTGCGGAAGGCGAAATGGTCAGACTTGCAATTGTTCTTAACTATGTGAATGCCAAGGTGATATATCAGAACAGTATGGGTGTTTTTATGTAGATTGGGTACTTCAATATTAAGTTGTTTTAAAATAATGAAGCGAATCTTTTTAAGAAATATTTATTTTAAGGGTTCGTATATGAATGGAAGTTTTGTCTTATATTGTATTTTTTTATCTTGATAGTTAATTTGAATATTACTGGACATAAATATCTGTTATAAAAGAATTCTAATCCCAAACTAGCGTGCATTAAAAAAATCAATTGGGATCCAATTTTCTCAGGTGATGCAATAAAAATAGGAGAGATTGCGTTGCATTTTTGCATGAAATATGTAGTTGGCCCTCTTAAGTAAAATGTACTCCATTTTCTTTTTTAAAGGACCAAAATGATCCCATTTTATGTAGGGACCATTTTGATCATTTAAAGAGTCTAGGGACTAAATTAATATTTTTACATAATCTGTAACCATTTTGAATCTTCACAAATAGTAGGGGATTATTTTGTTCATTTTTTCTCTTTTTTGTGAATTTCTTCGAGGGCTGAAGCTTTATTTTTGTTATAATGAAAACATATTCAAGAACCCATTTTTGTTATAATTCCTGCTTTGTACATATTCTGAGGCGGGGAAAGTTGATTAAAAAAGTAAGACAGGCGGCTTGGATGAAAAAAAAGAAAGCTTTTCTATGCTTTTCCAACATATTGCTTGAAAAAAGGCTCTTATATTACCCTTACTTAAGTAAATTCGGCTTAAGAAAAACCTAGGGGCAAAGTTGGCATTTAGAGACTTCTAAAAATAATAACTCTCTAATTAGGCAAAATTTGGTATAACTTCTATATACCAAAACGATCAGAATTTCGCGTAGGATTTTCTAAAATTAATTTCGTTGAATTCCGTTAACGTTGAAAATTTTACTTAAACCTCGTCGAGGCGCTTTAAAAAGCGTGCAAAGCCTAAAATAAGATTTTCGGGTTTTACAATGTGGCCCCACAAAAAAAGCTTGAATACAGTTTTGAATGAAGAACAGAAAAGCCATACGTTATGAAGTGAACATATTGCAAACGCTGTTGAGAAGATGGTGTTTAATTGTCTCATAACATAATATTACTGTGTTTTTGTGCATTTTAATTCTTCAACGTTATAAAATTATTCTAATATCTTCTAATAAATTTGCAAATGTGACGCTAGATTGAAAATATAAGAAAATAATAAACTGGACACATCAAAATATGTTTGAGTGTCCAACCTTTATGTTTTGAAGATATGAATAGTTTTGGACATTAAGGTTTTATAATATTTTACTTTAAACTTAAATCATATGTTTAATGCTAAATTTTGAACTTTTAAAATATTTTTAAAATTAATTTATAATTTTGAGCATTGCGCGTGGTTTTACTGTTGATTTAGTAAAGGAGAAATTTCTTTTTGAATGCTTGCTTGATTAGCATTGCCAGGAGATGTGGCTGTGGAAAAAGCATCCCTCAGTATGATTGTGAAGACAAGTGAAGTACTGAGTTCCTTCTGAATTGTTTAGCTGACCAGAAGCTCTATGTTTCATATGGCCTTTTGGGAGGGACACTAATAATTTGAAAGTGGATCACCAGTAATTTGCTGGTGAAAAATGAAACCTGCGTAGACATTTGAACTATTTCCACAACCAGACAGTCATGCTAAATGAAACCCAGAGTGCAAACTGAAACAATGGTAACAACATTCATAAATTAAATCACGCATCTCAAAATTTTAAGGCCGTGCTTTTTCATCTTCAATCTTGAGGATTAGGCAGGCTTTTGGAAAGAAATATATTTTATTTTTATTTTTTCTGCATCATTTATGTATTCATAATTTCTTATACTATAATCCTTTAATTTTTTGTTACAAAGATTAACTAAAATAGCTTATGTTACTGCCTCTTCGGTATTTTTCTCTGCTATCTTATTTTCATTTTCTTATTGGACCGTAGTTGCTTTATGGTTGCAGATATACAATGATTATTGATACTGGTTTTTTTAAATGGCCTAAAATTTTTACCTCTTTCAAAATTTCAATATTGTTGCATATTATTGATGAAGGCTTTTGTCTTTTAGTTTCCTCTTATCTCAAAATGTGGGAAGATTGCACGAATAATAAAAGGTTTGCAAGATGCAAAGGATGACGTGCATACATTATTGAACGGATGTCCTGCAGGGTCTGATGGGTTCTTGATTGCAGCAAGATTTTGCTATGAGAATAAAGTGATGCTTAAGCCAGAAAACATTTTGTTGGTGTATTTAGTTGCTGATTTTCTTGAAATGACAGAGGAATATAGCGAAGATAATTTATTGATGCAGGCAGAAAGTTTCATTCACAGAGTAATTCTTCGGAGCTGGAATGATTGCATATTAGCTCTTCAGAACTCTCAGAATTATATTTTAGAAGCTGAAAACCTAGCAATTGTGCAGAAGTGTCTTAATGCTGTGTCACAGATGGCATGTCTGGATCCTAGTTTGGTCAGAAAGCCTATATTGTATGGAAGCTTACAGAGTCCTGGTGGAAGTATACTCTGGAATGGAATAAATACTGGAGCTAGAATTAACAGCTCGTTATCTGATTGGTGGTTTGAAGACATTTCAGTTCTATCTTTTCCAGTGTTTAAGAAATTTATTGAAACTATTAACATGCGTGGCATAAGATCACTAAATTTATCTGGTGCACTGATGTTCTATACTATGAAGCATTTTCCTGGTCTTGATAGGTGGCAGAATCGGCAAGGAGCCAGGAGAGTTGGAAGTTTATCTATTGATTCAGCGGCAGTTGATCAAAAGATTTTAATTGAAAGCATTGTAGAGCTCCTTCCTGAAAATAAGGGGAAGTCTTATTGCCGTTTCTTGTTGGGACTTTTACGTCTTGCTATGATACTTGGTGTTGATTGGTCTTGCAGGGACTCTTTGGAGAGAAAAATAGGGATGCAGCTTGAGCTGGTGACACTGGATAGGTTCTTTATTCCTAATTTCTCAGACTCTGATCATTTATATGACACCGATTGCATTGAGCGGATTATTCGGAATTTTTTGTCATTTCATTCACCGAAAATTACACCGTTTTCAGCATCATCATCATATCCTGTCATTCCACGATCCTCTACTATTTTAGATAAGGCAACAAAATTAATCGATGATTATCTTGCTGAGGTTGCCTCTGATGTAAACTTGAAGCCTGAAAAGATGCAGTCCCTTTTGGAGGTTTTCCCCGAGTACTTGCGCAAGTTAGATGATGGAATTTATAGAGCACTTGACATCTATTTTAAGGTTTGCTTCTTTTTTGCAATCAGGGTTATCTCTCATTGGATACTTATTTCACGTAAATTGCTAATTTATCTAGGTTGCTTTTTAGCTGTTCTAGAGATCTCAAACCTGGAAAAAATTGTTTGCTTAATCATAAATCTAAGTAATCAAGTTATTGATGCAAAGTCAAACTTTATAGAAGATGGAGGCACAAAGTTATGATATTATTTTAGTGATAACTCGTCTTCCTTAGTAATCCACGTGGCAATCCAATAGTATAACAACAGCAAGCAGTAGCGTAACTAGATTAAGATAGATGTAGTGTCAGGGAGACATTACTGTTATAATATTATTACTCAATGCGAAAGCTATTGTGCTAATAATAAATGGGGGTTAATTTGTAGTTCTTTTTATTTTATTTCTCATTATGGTTCCACCAGCGCCTATCCTAAGAGATATAGCTTTTCTTTTGTTTTGAAGCTCTGATTTTTTTTTTTGGATGATGGTATAAGGTTTAAAATTTTCTCACTCTAAGTGGATCTTAATTTTTGGTGTGAAAATGCTCAAAGAGTCTATGCATTTATTACAAACTTATTGCCTTTGTTCGTAGACGCTGCGCTGTAATCATTGCAAGCCTTTTGTTATTACTTGCGGGCTTGCTGCATTGAATGCGAATCTTCTAGCATCGTTTGTAAGTGAGGCGTTGTATACATCACAAGCTCATATGCTCTGTCATAATCCTACTTTTTTAACTCGTAGGCAAACTATTGTGTGCATGATGAGTCTCCTATAGTGGCTCATAGGGGTTCGTATTCATTGCAGGTTCTATCTTTGTTCGTAGACGGTATGTTAGGACCCATCATGCTTGCAACATATCTTCTATCATTGCTTGTAGGCATATTAGTGTGTTCATTTGTAAGTTGATATTTACTACTGGTGAATTGTGTTCATCATTAATTTCTTTATGTAGGTCAATAGACATCGACTGTAGGGATGATGTTGCATTCGTTGCACATCCTTCACACTTTACTCATGAACATATCACTGTGTTTATTGCAACTATCCCATCCCTCCCATAAGCATAAGTGGTGTGAGTGTTATACGTTGATTAACAACATTCATAGGTGATTGATAATGCTTATTAAGAGTTTGTTTTGTGCATTTGATTGGAAATTTGTCCACTATATGTCTCCCTGGCTTGTTCATTTATATTCTTTTGAGTGACCAAGGACTGTTAGTTGGCATTTTTTACATTCAACTGTTCATTTTATTGCATCATCAATTTAGAGTCGAGTTCCGTGTGAGTTTAATTGCAAGTTCGGTTCCCTGTAATTTGCTTAAGTCTTGTTCATTGTCAGTTCGAATTTCTGTAGCCTCTCGACATCTCCACTGATTAGGGGAATGTTTGGGAGTCTAGGCCTACCCAACACGTTAAGAAAGACATGTATGATCGATGTCGAGCGACACTGTGGCCGTTTTCTTTTACCCCACCTCGCCAATAAAGACTTGCATAAATTGCAAGGGTACTTGTGCGAAAACTTGCAAGTTTTTCCCGCTGGCCTGAAAACACGTAAGGATACTTAAGATTTACCCACTATGCTAAGAAAGCATGACATGGCTCACGCACCTTGCCGCAAGTATCGCATTGAGCTCCCTCCCATCACATGAAGAAAAGCGTGCATAGGTGGTCCATCCGTTGTGCTGCAATCACCGAAAACAGGATTTGCAGGTTTTTATGAGTTTAGAAAATTTATACCTTGCGTGAGGGAAGACAACTATAATAACTCAAATATGTGAAATAAAATTTATTTGAAAAATATGAAAATTTTAATTTTGAAGTAGAGCACTTTGGCGTTGATTTGATGAGCACTGTGGCATTAGGCGATGAAAAATCACTGCCTCACCCTACTAACTCTTTCACTTGGTTGCTTGGGCAGAAAAAAATTGAAAGAAGGGAAGAAGAGAGATGAGATAGAAAGGTATTTGGATCATATTTGTCAATCATTAGTGTTACAGATTTTGTTCTATTCATTCTAAGTGATTAATCTCTTACTTCTGTTTACGATGATTTTGATTTATATAAATTTTATCTCTCATAAATCTACAAACATTGTATTATCTCCTGATTTCTTAAGCTTTCACCGTGCAAGTTCGGATATGTTATAAATTTGATCATTATGAATGATTTGATATGATTTTATTGTATTTTAAATGAAGTACTAAATAATATCAGATACATGATATGATAATTCTTTGTGATACCCTACTGATCCACATGATTCACTAATTGGGAGTCATAAAGTGCTAGAGATTTATTAGAGTTATAAAGAGTCGGGGCGACTGATTCACATGATTCAAAGGGAATTATAAGGAGTACATTGATTGTGAGTAGTTATAAGGGGAGATTGATTAGGAGTCATAAGTGCATGAGCAAGATACTCTTAAGATATACTCATCGAATGTCTGAATACTGATATTGACACTGTTTCAAACACTGTATTGATATTGTGACTGACACTAATACTATTTACTGTCATTAATGTTATTTAACGCTATTGATCATGATACTAATATTGTTACTGACATTAGTATTGTTGACTGTTACTAATATTGTGATTGATGATGTAATGAATTGAGATGTGATGAACTGTAGAATGATAAATTGATACAGATAATCAGTATGTAGGTTGATGCATATATATTTATTTATATGATTAATATCATATTGTTCTTTTTTATCTTGCATTGATTTTAGTTATTTGTTGTGCTATGTGCTCATTACATGATTTTACTTGTTTTCAAGAAAGAGTAATGATCCTATGATATGAGGTTCCGAACAAAAAAAAAAAAATAATGTTCTTTTCGTTGTTCATTGGTAAGCTCTTGTTGAATGGTTGAAATAAAAGACAAATATAATTCTTCCAATATAGATCCTAGAGTGTGACAACATCGACGATGTTAAAGGCACAAGGATCGAGACACAAAAATCCCGTCTCTTTTCTTTTTTTTTTCTCTTCCTTTTTTATTGAATTTTGAATTTCTTTTTTCTCTCACTTTTTTCTTTTTAATAATAAGAATAATAATAATAATAATAAGGAGATGGGTGGTTGTTATAGGGGTTGAGTGAGAGTTCAGGTGGACTATGGCTTTGAATGGGTTACGAAGGTATTTGAAACTGCAGATAATTAGACTTTGAATGAGAGTGGTTGTGTAAGTTGCTAGAAGTTAGGGAGAAGGTGATGGGTTGTTTTGAAGCGGGATGGTTGTAGTTGAGGTGGAGTGAGGGTAGGTTGTAGTGTGGGCTGGGCTATGGGATAAATGAGCTTGCTGTTGTTGTTGGGTTCGGCTAAGGGAATGTGAGGGAGTTGGGTGAGAGCAACAGGTGGAGTGGAGAGCGTCTTGAGGGGCGGTCGGATAGGGTGCGATTTGGGATTGGAGAGTGCAGGCAGCTTGCGATCGGAGGGTGTAGGTGGTTGGGGTCTTCAATTGTTTGCTGCGTGAGGAAGATCGAGTGGGTGCGACTGAGGGAGGATGAGTTCGTGTGAGGTAGGGAGTCAGAGCGAGCAGTGGGATTGGGGGGATAGTTCGATCGGCTGGAGGTTGGAGTTCAGTTAGGCTTGTGCGTGTGTGACGATCGAATTTGCTTGAAGGTCGGGTAGGCTAGGTTGATAAGAGGTTTTCTGCCTGGGGAGCGGCTTTGTTGGCTGGATTGATCGGCACAGATGAGGGTTGTGGCATCGAAAGGTCGTGAGGATCGTGGCTATATAAACTAATTTATGAATCTTATTTGTTGTAGAAGCTTATGACAACATTGGGTTTTTAATGAAGGTGTTGGGTAGAAATTGAGAAGAGAGAAGACGCGAAGGGATTTAAAAAGGGAAATCAAAAGTTCTTTTCCATGAGATCAAAGTAGATCTATCAAAATGATGGTACTATGTTCTATAAAGTTTTAAATTGGACAATTTTGAATTTGATTAATTCTTTTTCTTTTGTTATACCTCTGATGGAACTTGAGTTGCAAAATTCGGAATCCAGGAAAACAGCCCAAAAACAGTGGGAAAATAGAAGATTTCTTGGATGAAAACACTCACAAATACTTCGATTACTTAAATATCAAAAGACTTACAAGTTTTCACGGATACAATGTTCTCAATTCGAGAAGAGAAGCTTTCTCCCAAGCCCTAGATTAGAAAAACCTAAAGCAACCACCAAAACAAGATCCCTCCAAAACAAACCTTATCTCCCCTTTAACCCTCACATGATCCCCCCAAAATACCCTAATTACCCCTAGGGTAAACAAAACAAACTCCCTCTTACATTTGGTGGGCCCCTTGGGCCCACCCACTTTGATGGAACTTGAGTTGCAAAATTCGGAATCCAGGAAAAACAGCCCAAAAACAGTGGAAAAATGGAGGATTTCTTGGATGAAAACACTCACAAACACTTCGATTACTTAAATATCAAAAGACTTACAAGTTTCCACGGATACAATGCTCTCAATTCGAGAAGAGAAGCTTTCTCCCAAGCCCTAGATTAGAAAAACCTAAAACAGCCACCAAAACAAGATCCCTCCAAAACAAACATTATCTCCCCTTTAACCCTCACATGATCCCCCCAAGATACCCTAATTACCCCTAGGGCAAACAAAACAAACTCCCTCTTACATTTGGTGGGCCCCTTGGGCCCACCCGACTCCTCCCTCTCCTTCGGCCGAACGCCCAGGCGAGCGTTTTGTCCGCCTGCAGTAAGCGAGAACTGGCCCCTTGTGGGCCGGTGCGGATGCGGGATGGACCGGGCGGTCCGGTCCATCAACCTCCTACGTAATATTTCCCTTACTCGTATGAGATGAGGTTCTTCTTTTTTTTTGGGTTGAGTAAGGGTGTATTCGAGTTTTAGGATGGGTTGGTAATTTTAATTTTATTGTACACCATGATTGTGATTTCATTGTTAGTGTACCTAATCCTATTTGCTTTTCTGTACGTAGTCTTAAGCTGAATCATATAAATTTTAGTAATTTTTTGTGCATCACCTATTTTGCAGTTATTTTATGATATATCGTACTTACTTTTTGGGCTAATGCTTCCATAACATTAAGTTCGACTTGTACTTTTCCCTGACACCTCTCTATTTATCTTGTCTCATTTTTTTTCATCAAAATTATTTTTTTATGATGGTACATTTAAATATTTGAAATGGAATTTTTAAATTTTAACTAATAAGGATAAATGAAAATTTATAGTTCATTTTGCAAAGCAAAATGCTGGTCTAGACAACTCATTTGATTTGTCAATGTCATTAGTAAGTTGTAAACTAAGGCATCCATTTATCTTTAGCTTAGTTATATGGAGATGAACAGCATAATAGCACAATGAAAGTTCTCTTTTACATTCTACCGTGTTTGTCAATTAATTTCTCATAATTTCCGAATCTTCTTCAAAGTTCAAGGATAGCTTTCAACCCCATTTACTGGCTACTGAGACAAATAATAAGCTTTGGACCGCAGAAACTGAGCGCTTCATGAAATGCTGCATCTAAGGCTTTGTTTGTAACTCTTTTTGCTGCTTCTTAAAGTAGTTAAATTTTTTGTACTAAAAAGTTGCTTTAAGAAGCAAGAAGAAAACCGTCCCAAGTAATAACTTTCTTTCATCTCATACCTTTGTGCAGGAGCATCCGCAGCTTCAAGAAAACGAGAGAGAGAAGCTCTGCCGAGTCATAAACTTTAGGAAGCTTTCAACCGATGCTTGCATTCATGCATCACAGAATGAGAGCCTTCCACTTAGAGCTGTCCTTCAGGTTCTGTTCTCTGAGCAACAACAACTCCGTTCTACCCTTTCCAAATTAAATCTCATTACACACAACGAAGATAATATGACTGCTACTGCAAATGAAATTGCTGGAGAGTTTATACAGAGAGAAGGCTGGGTTTCTGTTGCAAGGGAGAACCAATACCTGAGAGTAGACATGGAACGAATGCAATCTAAGGTCAGAGAGCTTGAAAATCATTTTATGATCATAAAGAAATATATGGGAAGGTTCTCCAGACGTAGCATATCCAGATAACTCGGCTTTAGGCCTGCAAATACAAATCATTTTATGATCATAAAGAAATTGGCGTGAGACAATTTTGGACTGGAAACTGGAATAAAAAAGGTATGGAAATGTTTGGATCTGATTATAGTAACAGTCTTTCTTGTAGGCCATCATTTCTTTATAGATTACAAGTTTGGATGTGATAGGAAGGAAGCTGAACAGTATTTCATGTAGGCATAATTTCTGTGTTTCAGAAAATTTTTGATATCTCGATTAAGGTTTCGTTTGGGACAACTTTTGTATTGTTTTCTAAAACGGCTTTCTAGTACAAAATTTTTAAATTCAAGAAATTTTTGTACTAGATAGCTGGTTTAGAAAGCAAGAAGAAAGTCATATCAAATAAGCCTAAATCGCTATCTAACGAAGCCTAAATCGCTGGTGATATGAACGTTAGTCTGAATCGCTGGTAACATGCATTGTCCAAATTCTTATCCTGGACTTCTTGGTTTTTCAACTAGTTAGTTGTTAAAGTATGTCATGTGGTTAACCACATTAGGCTAAGTTTGGGACGGCTTTTAAAGCAGCTTTTTAGTACAAAGAATTTTATTTTTGTATTAAAAAGACACTTTAAAAAGCGGTAAGAAAGCTGTTTGGAGCCTTAGGTTTCGTTTGGTATCATTTTTTTACTGCTTCTTAAAGCAACTTTTAAGTAACAAAATTAAAAGGTTTAGCTTTTTTGTACTGTACAAAATTTATTTATTTATTTTTTTTCTGCTTCTTAAAGCTGCTTTTAAGGAACAGTAAAAAAGCCGTCCCAAACGAAGGGCTGGCTTTCTTACTGCTTCTTAAAGTAGCTTTCTAGTTCAAAAAATAAAAATTATGTACCAAAAAGCTGCTTTATAAAATAGTAAGAAAATCGTCCCAATCGAAGACTTAATCTGCCAATCGATTTGAAGACGATAGACAATAGTTGAAAAACCATATTACTGTACAAAATGCTCCGATTATTATTATTATTATTATTCATTTTTAGCTAAAATAATGTTGAACAATCATAGCTAAAGTTTTCCATCTTTAAGAAAGTCCTTGCAAACCACAATCATGCAAATTAGAAATAACTTCAATATGTGAAAAGCTAAATGGAATCCATAGTTGGGTTTCTTTAAAAATAAAATCATCGATGATTGAGAAATTTATGCCATTTTACTTTTTTTCATCTCTTTTTTCATGAATATTCTCAAAATGTTAACATCTAAATCATTATAATCGGGGTTTAAAACCAATTATTTCAAAGTACAATGATTTAGGATCTAAAAGCTCACTTAGTATGTAAGCATTCGAGATGGGTTTTTCATCCACTGATCAAAATGAAGATCATGCCTTCCCTAAAACATGCCAAGTGCTCTAGCCACTCCAAAGGCTACACATGCCTACCAACATAATGATCCCTCACATACCTACATCTACTTATCTTCTACCACCTTTATGGATATCTCCATGAGTTAAAACATGTGTCCTACAACCCATATTATGTTAATGCCTTATTATATGGGATGTATTAAGACTCACATATTTAAAATCCAATGTCTCCATACCCCATGTCACTTCATATAATCATTATCATGTCACCTCTACTTTGATCCCCCGATTCACTTACATGCATTTCTGCCCCCCCATCAAGAAAGTGGATTATGAATCAAACCGCCCAAAAGTCAAAAACCCTTGACCTTGTTGAGATATGAACTCTTCTATACATGATAGAAGTCTCCCACTCTCTCTCATTCACCCTTTTCCCTTTCCTTATGGGTGTCTATTAATGGGCAAAGTGATCCTTCTCTATAACGTACACATTCTTCACTCCCTATAGTGTAAACTCCCCCTCTCTATACTATAGATGTTGACAACATTATTGCAACTTGTTAATTATATTATTTATATGTTATTTTTTTTATTCTATGCTCATATTTGGTGGAACTTTTTTCTCATAATGAACCTCTTTGATAAAACTTCAAATATAGTAAACTCTACTCTAGGATTCTCAACGTTGCTATACTCAGAGGTAGGGTTTGGAAGTAGAAGAAAGATCCTTTTGCAAGTCAAAGGGATGGATGTACATGGGCGGATCCCCACTTAGGTGAGCCCTCAAAAAAAAATTTTTTTTTTTAATATTGAAGATGCATAATTTTGTCCCTCAAAAACAAATTTTTGCCCTAATATGACCCATCTCATATTATTTGTCCATTCATCCGAAATATTTTTGTTGCTTTTATCTTCAATTTTTAGATTCTCCTCAGCCAACAAGTGGTCAAATTTTTATTTAATTTCATTTTCTGTAGGTTTAATTTCATTGTGAATAGCAAAGCAGAAGAAATTTTTGCACTCAAACTTTGAAAATGATTTTGGAAGTCAAAACAATGAAGCAATAGTTTTTTTATTACAAGTTATATTATTATTAAAATCAATATTAAATTAAAAGATAAATGATAAAAATTTTCTCTTTTAAATTTGATAGCATTATGTTAACTAATTTTTTTAAAAAATTTATTTTATTATTATTACTATTTGATGTTATTATTATTATTATTATTATATTTTAATTTTGTCTAACTAATTAAAATTTTATCCACCCTAAAAAAAGAAGCGGAATCTGCCCATGTGGATGTATCTCATCATTCTTTACTATTTGACCAAATCCTATAACATAATTTTCTACCTCCACACCAAATCATCACATCTCATTTTATCTCACAATTATGCTTTTTTGAAAAGTTAGAACTCTGTGACTCCTCAGACTACTTGAGAATGAGGCATCCTCTACGTTGATATTTTCCAAAGGGCGAAAGGATTGTGGATTGTCAAAATTCTCATCCTTTCCAACAAAGTCTCCTTCAAAGAAGTTGAATACTCCCTCAAGTATTATTTTGTCCTATCTATCTTCATCCCTTTGAGCAATAGACAATACGTATCATATCCATCGAATTATAAAATAAATAAGTCTACACATAATTATTGCCACTCTCAGTCAACCTTTACATTCTATTATATCCAATTACGTCTCCATCTCTTAGGTCCCAATCTATCACCTTATAATCCTTACAACTTCACATAGCATGTCTCATCCCACAAGTTGGGGGCACTCTAACTTGCTTCTCCACTTTGTTTACCCACTGTTTTTCTTTCCCATGATTTTTCTCCTTCTCTACAAATTTAGAAGCACATACTCAGTAAGCCCAAAATTGACCTCATAGTAGGGCTTCTTCCATTTTGGCTTTGGGATCGCCGAAACCAAGTTAGTGACTAACTCCTTGATATAAGGACCATCGAATTATAAGTTCTTAATAACTCAAAAATGAAGAAAATCTAGGAGTGCATGATTGCTACTACTTCCTTTAGAAGGGTTATCAACTTTGATCAAGTTGAAAATTTATATAAACAAAATATCCATTTTAGCTATTAGAAGTGTCATAAAAGTCATTTTAACTTCAATAATGATCCTAACCTCATATGATGCCTTTTTAACAATGACCTCAATTGTATTGCCCTCCATGAAGCTAACATTTACAACAAGCTTAGCTCGTTGGAAGCTTCCTCAGCCACAACTTCCTTTTGTTTGGAAGTCCCCTCATCACGAAGGAGCAAACTCTTATCCACCATCTTTTAGTGGTTCAATTTTCACCTTCTTAAATGAAGGCTCCTTTTTCTTAGAAATATATGACGGTTAAATGTATTTTTTTTTTAAATAATGTAAACCTAATGAGCCCCATGCTATACTTTCAAGTAGCAACAAGTCTAAAAAAAAAAAGTGGCATCAAGTCTGTCTCAATGTTAAACTTTTAAAACCCAAAAACTTCAAAGGTTGTTTTTGAGTGGTGCAAGTTTTTGGTCTGAATTTGGTTTTGGAGGCTTATTCTCATAGCTCTAAATTTTTGTCTTGGATTAAACCTAAGAATATCTATGTGAAAGTCAATTTTGATGGCTCTTTGAAGGTGGACTCATGTGGTTGTGGTGGTATCATTATAAACCATATGGGGGATATTATTACTGTGTATATTGGGCCTCTTCTCAAGTGTTTTATCATTTTTGTTGAGTTGAAAGATCTTTCTTACGGTCTCAATATTTGTTTAGCTTTGAACATTACTCATATATGGATTAAGGTGGATGCCTTATGATTAAAATTATGGAGGGGGCTGCTTCTGATCCCTGTAATCTTGAGCTTTTCTATTTAATTAGGAAATTAAAAGTTTATTGCACAAATTTCACTACCATCTTTCTCATGTTTGGTGAGAAGCCATAGTTGTGCTGACTAGTTAGCTAATATGGGTTGTACCCTTAATGAATTCATGGAATTTTTAGGTTTTAACCTCCCTAAGCACCTTGTTGGTTTAACTAGGTTGGATAAATCTAGGCTTCCTTATGTTAGACTTTAAGGCATTGATATTTTTTGGCTTGTTGTTTTTTGGTCAAGGTTTCTTCTCCATGGTGTTATTTTTGAATTTTTTTGCATTCAAGTCTCTGCTCTGTTTTCCTGTAGTAATTTTTTTTTGCTCTTTGGGTTCTTGGCATTTTGTCTATTGTTGATCTCCTCAGGTGTTTCTATTCTTTGATTTTTGATCCAAAGCGATTCATTTTGTTTAAGGGATGCCTGACTTTTATTTTGGGAGGTTCTATTGCCTTTGATTGTTCTGTTCTTTACTGGATTTATCTGAGCCAGTCTGGTGTTGTTCTCATATGAGGAAGGGTTTTATTGTTGCTAGTCTGGGGAATTTTGCCGATTTTGATTTGGAGGTTGGTGTTACTGTGTCTTTTCATTTTTTTGCTTGCTTCTGATTTTTATTTTTTGGGTCTACAATTTTCTTCATTCCTTTGTTGTTGTTACCCCTTCCCGTCTTGATTCTCTGGATGGTTATTATGATCAATTGATGGTTTGTCTTTGTGATAATGCTGGTTTTGTTATGGTTGTTGTTGTTGCTCCATCCCGTTTGGTTCCCCTACAAGTTCATATCGATCTTGATGGATTGGCATTATTTAAGATGCTATTGAGTTTATTATTATATATTAATTAAGGTTCTTTATTATTATATTTTGCTGGGTTCTTCTCAGCTTTTTTTAGGCCCTGTTTTGTTGCAGATTTTGGTTGTTATTTTAGTTGTTTCATATTCTCATTTTTTCAGGACGATTGTGTTGAAAGCTCTATGGTGGATCTCTTGTTTTTTGGTTGTTGACTCTTGGCCATCCTAGATTTTTCCTAGCTTTTGTTTTTACTTGTACTTAGATGGGATTGTTAGCTCTTAGGTTTATTTGCTTGTTGATGTAACTCTTCTTAGCATTAGTTAGTTTTGATCTCCTACAACTTATAATTTTTATTTATATCAATGTGTAGGTCTTTATGCAGAGTTTTAACTAAAAATAATAATATCATATATACAATTCAAATATAATGATTGTGAAAAATATATTAAACAAAAGTTATATTGTTATACAAACTATAATTAAAATTATTAATTTTTTTAAATAAATTAAATAATTTATCATACAATTTTGTGAGAATATTCACATCCAATTGCAGCCGACTATTGCCATACATAAAATGTGGAACTGAGCCGTTGCGTGTAATAGGAAGCGGAGGGTTGTCGAAATTGTGTCCGAGATGACGGCAGATAAGCGCATTTTTGTCGTGCTATATGCGGAGTTACCTAACGGTGCCGTTACGAAACGTGACACTTCCGTATCCCGTGGGTCACCGCGAACTCCCGCCGTTACCCATTTAATCGTCCTTGTGCGGATGTGAAAGCTCTTCTCGCTAACGTCGTCTGCCTCCCGTTCCATCTTTGCGTGGCCCCGCCTGCTTCGGAATCGGAAACCCTAACCCTAACCTAACGCCGCCACCAACCCATGGCCTCATGCGATGACGACTTCTCTCTTCTCGGGGACGAAGTGCACTCCCACCACCCACACCACCAGCAGCAGCGGCAAGATTCGGAGTCCGTTGCCGCTGGTGCCGCCGCTGGTGTTCTTAACTTTTCTACCCATAGGTACGTCTCCAAGGCCAACGTTCCGATCCACTCCCGTTCTCTTGTTTTCAACAATATCATCAGGAAGAAAGTTCCTATTGGCCCTGTGGGAGACGACCAAGATCAAGTGGGCTACGCCGAGGCCTTTGTCCCGACGGATGTGAATACACAAAGCCATTGCTTCGCCGATGACGACCCTGTATCGAACCCATTCGAGCCGCTTCATCCTCGCGAGGATGATGGCGTCGACGGGGATAATAGCCCCGACCGCAGGTGTAGCGCAGCTGCGGCTGCGGCCGTGGCATCGGTCTCTCACTTCCACTACCAACAGCAGCAGCAGCAGCAGCAGCCGCTGGAAGCTTCCCATGCTGAAAAGAAGCGCAGGGATCGGGACGAGCTCAGCGATGAAGAATCCCCTTATGGCTACAACATGAGCAACAAGAGGTCAAGGTCGTCTTCAGTCGCGCCGTCATCATCCGGTGACTATCGCAAGGACCGGGAGGAGTGGAGCGATTCGGCCATTGGCTGTCTACTTGATGCGTTCACTGAGAAGTACATACAGCTGAATCGGGGAAACTTAAGGGGAAGGGACTGGGAGGACGTTGCGGCTACAGTGAGTGAGCGATGCGAGAAGCAGAAGTCCGGGAAAACTGTGGAGCAGTGCAAGAACAAGGTTGATAACCTTAAGAAGCGTTATAAGGTTGAATGCCAGCGCCTTAGCAGTGGAAGCATCGCTGTTAGCCATTGGCTATGGTTCAAGAAGATGGAGCAAATTGTCGGTTCCTCTTCCTCCTCAAAGACTGCTGTGGATGATGATAAAGCTGCTGCACTGGGTGATTCCTGTCCTGCTTCGAGACAATTGAAGAGGTCTCATTTCTTTGGTCCCATCTCCTTTTCCTTTACAATTTTCATTATTTATGGCCTTATTAGATGTTATTTTCTCTTTTGATGCCCTAACGGAGCAGAAGGTGTGCATTTGCACTCTAATTGAGGATAAAAATTTGGAGAGAACACAAAAAATTAAAAGAAAATTTAACACATGCTTTTGAGCGAGCTTAAAATGAAAAGTAAACAGAGGAAACGTTTCCTCAATCAAGTGAATTTGGGCTTCTAAAACGAATATAAAATAGAGAAAAATTTTCAGTAAGTAAATTTGTAATTATGCAGAAACTAAATTTATGCTTAATACTTATGAAAGGAACTAAATTTATGCTTAATTCTTATGAAAGAAACAAAATTTATTTCCTTTCAATCCTACTTTATCCATCTTTCTTCCTACGAATTTACTGCTCCGATGCCATGGCATGTCGCAAAGGAGTGTACCAAAAAAAAAAAGAAGAATTTTTTTATACTAATTTAACGTAACTATATTTTGAATTTAATTAATAGTAGATTACGATAAAGAATTATTGTTTATTCAATATTCATTTGGTTATGTTACCTTAACAGGAAAATATGCTATCGTGTGAGATGCTGTTGATGGTTTAATTTGTTTTTCTTTTCACAATTTGATGTATCATTAGGCAAATTTGGATTTCATGACTACGGCATCTTTTATGATTTTTTTCAAGTGAATTAGCTGATACATACAATGTTTAGTATTTGAATATCAATGCAATCCTCAGCACGAAAAACAAATTAATTGCTCATTGGGAGATCTCATTGGTCTAATAAAAGAAAGAGTTCATTTTCTTATAGCTATATTTCTTCAATGTCAAGTGTTTGAATCTGTTTTTTCCATATATTCCAATTTTGTTACCTCGGAGCTGTCAGCATATATGAAGCTATGTTTACTTGTAAATTTGTTTTTATTTTCATTACAACAACAACATCAAGCCTTTATCCCACTACGTGGGGTCGGCTACATGTATCCTTTTTCTCCATTGTGTCATATTGAAAGTCAAATTCTCGTTTAAATCTAATAAAGAAAGGTCATTCCTAATATTTTCTAACCAAGTCTTTTTAGGTCTACCCCTACCTTTCTTAACATAAGTCAAATCTAATACCTCTACTCTCCTAACCGGGTCGTCGCAAGGCCGTCGTTTTATGTGACCAAACCATCTAAGGCGACTTTCTCTAATCTTATCTTCTACTGGAGCTACTCCAACCTTTTCACGTATATGCTCATTTCGTATCCTATCTCAAAGGGTAAAGCCACTCATCCACCTGAGCATCCTCATCTCTGCCACACTTAACTTAGTATTATGCTTCTCTTTTAATGGCCAACATTCGGCACCATAAAACATTGCAGGCCTCACTACCATCTTATAGAATTTTCCCTTAAGTTTGAGGGGTACATTTCTATCACATAACAAGCCCGATGCATTCCTCCACTTCAACCATCCAACTTAAATTCTGCTGATAATATCCCCATCTATTTCACCATCACTCTGAACAATAGATCCAAGATATCTAAAACGTGTACTCTTATTAATGACTTGATCGCTCAAAGTCACAATCCCCTCACTAGGTCTATTACTACTAAAATTATACTCCATATATTCTGTTTTAGATCTACTCAAGCGAAAACCTTTAGACTCTAAGGTTGACCTCCATAATTCAAGTTTACCTTCAACTTTTTATTTTCATTGCTTTTAAAATTTTATTTTTGTTTTGTGCCTATGATGAATATAAGGCAATGCAAAGCAGCATACAAGTTGTTGTATCCAGTTGTTGTTTTTTTTGCATTTTTCTAAGGCTTCGTTTGGGACGGCTTTCTTACTACTTCTTAAAGCAGCTTTCTAGTAAAAAATTATTTTTTTATACTAGAAAACTGCTTTAAGAAGCCGAAAGAAAGCCGTCCCAAACGAAGCCTAAGTTGACAAATCAAGGTTGTAGATATTCGACACATACTGAAGTTGTTTGGTTTGAATTGAGCTTGAATGTTTTGAATCAAGTTGTAAATTTCTTTGACATTGAACATAACTTCATATATATAGATAGATTCTGTTTAAAATAAGTTAATCATATTGACTATTAATTAACCTCTCAATGCTATTGTGTAAGTCTACAATGGATGCTAGAATGGATTTGAAAAATATTTAGAAATTTTCTGGAGGTTTAGCATTAATCTTTCAAGTAAATAAGGATACCTCGAGCACTGTTTCACGTTATAGATGACTTTTCTTTTCTTTTTCTCATTCTAATCGATGTTCCAGCAACATAAAGCTCTCCCTCTTTTTTACGGCTTACTACAATGACCTTCAATTTCACTGTTTGGGATTGATTCCATGCTGGTAAAGCAAACAACTCAATCAGTGAAAAAATTATTATTTTACTGTTTGTTTAAGCCACTTTTCCAAAATACCTTTTGCTACACCTTCGTATTTTCGCCGATATGAGAAGAAAAAAAAAATCTGCTTCTCCGTTGTAATACCTCCGTGTAAGAACGAAAAAATGTCGGGGGAACCAAACGAGGCCTTAGCTGTTTTTAAGGCTTAGATTGTTGTAGATAGCAAGCAGTAAGTAAAAGATAGTGGATAGCAAGCGACAACAGTGCACAACAATCAACAACAAACAGTGGAGTGGCAATTGACAGCAATAGGCAGAGCATTGGCTGTATTTTACAAAACAACAAACCAAAATAAGCCAACAACAACAAGGCACATGGGTAAAACGGTGGCATCAAGAGGCAGTTATTGATACAGTAGCTGAATGCTTTAGCTATGATTTTTGCTATGGAACCGGGGTTGGGAACTTTGAGGGATTTTGGAGAAATGGCTGAGGACAGGAAAAAGAAATTGTTTGGGGAGAATAATCGGATTGATTTTATTGTTGGAAATTAATTCTATTTGTTGGCAATCCTGAACAAACTCCACGAAAAGAATATAATGAAATCTACTATAATAATGCAAGTTAAAAAAACGGTAATTACTACAAAATTGTCCTATTCTAAATTGAAGTTTGAATACAATTTATTCAAACTAGTAGAAAAAAATTCAAACCATCCTTATCTTGTTATAATATGAAATGTTATCCAAAGCTAACTTTTAGAGGTTTGTTCACCTTTGTTTGATAATTGATTGCTGATTTGATTACATGTACGAATTCCTGGCAATATCTTCTTCGATTTCAACAGTGTAATATGAGATTCACCACCATCAACACTTTTTTGGAAGGAATCAGGCTGTTAAAAGTTCAATGAACTTGATCTCTTTAATATTTCTACATTCTAATGCCCAAAACATGATTATAGACAATCTAATTGATTACCTAATTGATCCAATCCTAAGATCACAGTACAAAACAATGTTTCTGAAGCATGATTTTTAGTATTCCTTGTGGTCATTGAATAAATTTTCTTGAGGATATTTGAGCCCTGTCCATCTATATGAAAGGCTGAAACAAATGCTCTTGATTTTTTGCTCGTTAATGGTCAATGGTCAAGCTTGTGTAACTAGGTTGTCTATAAGGAATAAGCTAGGATTAATAGGAAGATAACTCTATGTTGTAAAATTGAATTTAACAAGTTTGTGCTCAATTCAATTAATTTTCTTTCATTAGTGGTTATTTGGTTTGCTAAAAGAAGAATGTAGAGTAAAAGAAATGCAGTGTAGATGGAATGTAGTATATTTGAATGTTTAAAGTTTGGATGACTGTTAAAGGAATGCCTAGGAATTTTTTTTTTTGCTTGAAGTAAACTGAATGCAGTGTTAAGTTCAAAATGGTGGTGGTTGGCCTGCGACGCTAGCGACAGTGGTGGCCAGCATTTGGCAGCTGTGGTGGTGCTGGTGGTCTATGTAGTTGGCGGCTGGCAAGTGTTGGCCGGTGGGAGTGGTGACAAGGTAGATTAGTTGCCGTGAAATAGTTTTCGCTCAAAATTAAACAAGTTTACCTAAAAAATGAACCGGAATACTTTACATAACATTTAGAATACTTTACACTGCATAACTTTTTCATCAAACCAAACACTAATATTTTCAAACGCTTGCTAAAGGTATACTTTACACCTACTTTATTTCCAACCAAACAGTCCTCCCTAAATGGTGAATTAAGATTCAAGAACAAAACTTTATCTTATATTACATTGGGTGTGCTATGGAGGTGGCTAACTCTGTTTTTTTTTTCCTCTTCAAGCTTTGTTTAGGATGGCTTTCTTATTGCTTCTTAAAGCAGCTTTCTAGTACAAAAATCAAAATTGTTGTATTAAAAAGCTGCTTTACGAAGCACTAAAAAAGCCGTCCCAAACGAAGCCTCAATCAGCATGTGGTCTTGTGGTGTTATTGTGATTAGAGTCTTAAATCAATCCGTTTTAAAGTGTAACTTATGTATTAGTGATGTTTCGAAGTAGTTCAGATTTTTGTTGAATAATAAGCTGGTTTTGAAGTAGAGAGACTAGCCGCTACACGGTATTATTCAACCGTCTGAGTCTAACTTTGAAGCTAGCCCAACTAAAAAGGCATTGGATGCGATCTACCATATTGATTGTATGGATCATATACTACTTATCATCTAGCTGTTGAAATGCACAAGCATAAGTCAACTCAGAAACTTTAATTATATGTATATGATTATAAGGACTTTTAGATTTAGGCTTCGTTCATTTTAGAAAGCAGTAAAAAAGCCGTCCCAAACAAAGCCTTAGTCGTTATAAGAGTGCATATAAACATTATGGATAAAAGCACTTTTTTCTAAACTTTAATTTGAAGTTGAGCATATGGTGGTTTTCATAAAGGTATTAGAGGTTCTAAATTTTGATAATTAACCAGAATCTTACCTATTTTTACTTAATAGGATAGCCACATATAATAAATATGTTGTAAGTTGTGACTTATGTAGAATGGAAAATATAAAAATTTTTTGGGCAAAAAGTATTAGCTGCAAACATGATAGAATACATTTGATACTTAGGGGCTTGCAAGTATTAAGGGTTTAAAATAAAATGAATTTGTGTTTTAATTTTTCAAGTGCTCGGTATGATGTAAAATTGATGCTTATTACCTTTTATTTATGGATTTTGAAATGCCTCAAAGGCCCAATATTTTTGAATTCCAAATTCTCTTAAATTATTTGTATTCCAAATTTATTGCAAACCCCTCTTCGTCCCAAACCCATTCTTTGGCGACCTTGACCTTGACTATTGTCCCCATCTCTACAATGCTCACTCTCATGGAATGTCCTCATTATTATCCCCGACCATGCTCCCACTTTCACATGTTGTCTCATTATTGTCCCCGTCCAAGCTCCCACCGTTGCATGTTGTTTCATCTCTTTCTCAATTGTGTTCTCTCTCTTCCTAGTCATCACCATCCTACAACTATGGTCTTGCATGGTCTTCTAGCCCTTTTCTCCACTTAGCATCACTTTTTTATTTTTTCTATGATGAAGATATTTCATGAAATACCTAATTTTTTCTATCTGATGGTGGATATGACTGATTTTTCTCCATCTTTATCAGGAAACATAAAAAAGCAAGCCCATTACTTGCATCGATTATGGGACTTCCTAGTCATCACCTACTACATCTATAGGCTATCATGGTCCTCAACCCTTTTCTTCTCTTTGCATATCTTTTTCTTCTTTTTTTTATGATGAAAATATTTCATGAAAAACCTATTTTTTTCTACCTGAAGGTGGATGCGATTGATTTTCTTCATCTTTATCAGGAAACATAAAAAACAAGCACATAACTTGTGTGGATTATGGGACTTATTTATCTCTCCTTAATGGGTTCTTTGCTCGTTAAAGTTAATTGTTATTTATTCTGGAAAGCAACTAAGTTGATTCTTTTTTCAGCCCTCCTGCCGATAACATCCATTACAGGAATTGTAAGAGCTATTCAAACAAGTCTAAGAAATCAAACACAAAAATGATGTTTTTAAAAGTTAATTTATCAAAGTATTGTAATAATAAAAGGATATTGTATTAAGACACATTTAAATTGCTGATTAAATTAAAAATTAGTAGATTATTTTGTAGCCAATCTTAAAAATACTTCCATGCATTTGTTTACAACCAATTAAACTATGCTGAAAAAATCAAAATGCACTTTATTTACTGCACACTGCATTCTAATTAAAGTTCGATCCTAAATACTGTAATCAAACAATCCCTTAATGTCAAAGAACATGTTAAAAAGTCATATGTGACTAGGAAGTTGATGGCAGCGTCAAAGAAAAAGTTAAAAAGTCATATGGGAGTAAGTACTGAACCATCTGAGAAGAAAGAATTAAAGAGAGTTCTAAATGTGGTGTGGCAAAAATGTTAACAATTATATTTGCAGGAGTGTGGAGTAGGGGGAGTTGCAAGCATAATCCAAGTCGAAGCGGTGCGACCAATGAGCTAAACAAACCCAAATCAAGCTACTCGGTGTAGGGTTTGCTTAAGCTCTAACCAGGGATTGTTGAAATTCGATCAATGTTTTATTTTAGGTGCCATTTCATCTGAGTTTGATAAAATTGGATCAATATTTTGTTTTAAGCATCAGTCAATTGAGCAGTCAGACCAACTGATGTGAAACATGCAAGTGAACAAGAGTTGTTTTGGAAATTAACAATAGATTGAACGTTAACGTTGCTAATTAAAACGCATGCTTCACCAAGTCGAGTTCGTAGAACTTTCCATTAGGAGATTAATAATAGCAATCAATTACGAAGAGAGTAACAAGACAATTGCAAATAACAATAAATCAAAATAGTAAGACTCTAATAGCAATCAAAAACAAAAATCCACGGCGTAACATCAAGAAATTTTCACCATGAGTCCTTCTCACTCGCTCTTGAGGTTGGGTTTAGCGGATGAACGGTAGAAGCAATCCTAATGATGCCACCGCAAGACAAGTGGAGCGTAGGGCCTTGTTCGCCGGAGAAGTAGCCGAAGGAGAAGTGGACGTTGATTGGCCGACGAGTAGCCAAGGTTCTTTGGGTCATTGATATTCAATTGTCTTGGCGAGGCAATAGAAGATGCGGTTGACGTAGCTCTCCATGGAATCTTCGTACTCCCAATCCGAATCGTAGAAAGGAGAAAGTAGGATATTGATTTCTCCTTGTGCGTTGTAGGCAAAACTGTGGTCGACCTCAGGGTCGGCCATGCACCAATGGTAAGAAGAAGGAAAGAGTTTGTCTTCTTCTTGTGACTTCCAAAGACGTGAAAGGCGTCGGCTTCCAAGAGGAAGGAGGCAAGTGGGAGGTGCGGCCAAGGAGAGAGAGAGGGGCGGCTTGGGCAAGTGGGATCTAGATTAGGTTAGGGTTGGGAGAGAGAGTTTTATTAAATCTGAAATTAGGTCAGATTTAAGGGGATTTGGAGGGAGTTGGATTTGAAATTTTGAATTCAAATTCAACTCAGGCTTAGGGACTAAATAGGAAAACAATGGGTGAAGCCCATAATGGGGGCCGGCGGCTTCATGAGGGGCAGGAGAGGATTGGGGAGAGATTTATTAGCTTCCAAACAAGTCTTTGTAAATTAGGAAAGCTAATAACAAATCCAATCTAATTTAATTTCAATTTGGACTCACGATTAAACACTTTTCTTATTTAGACTTTTAAATATTGAAAGTATTTGAAATGAATTCAAATGAATTCAAATATTTCCTTTACTTGCTTGAGCCAATCTAGGGAGTCATTACGATGACTGGATTCATCATAATGATGGGGAGCAATGATTATATATATAGGTCTCAAACATGAAGAAAAGAAAAAACACACAATTGCCCTCCGGCTATAATAACAAAACACCTCCCCTTAGGGGTAAACTCAGAAAATTGAAAAAGAGCTAAATAAAACATAAAATGCATCAAAAGTAAAGACGTTGAATCGTAGCCGTCGATCTACGATTCTGTTGCCGGTACACGTGTTTGAATCTCTCTGCATTTACTGTACATTGGATTTATTTTTCATCCAACCAAAAACCAAACCTCTCAAAATCTTGTATTCACTTTACTTTACACTCACTTTTCTTCCAACCAAACAACCGCTAAAGTTGTATTGGTGTGATTTTGAGGAAGCTACTAGGAGTTTTGGCTAAAGCTGTTATGTAACTTGGCTAGTTTGAGTTAAAAGAATTTTAGATTTTTGGTGCATCAAAGGCTTTTTAAAGTCTAAAATGCTCAATTGAATTGATTTTTAAGTTGTAAAGTCCACAGCTAGCTACTGGTAGATAGCTTAATTTTGACAGTAGTCCGGTAGTGTAAGAGTTTCAGATAATGCCTTGGTTTTGTAGTTAAAGCTTTCTGTGGGGTAAAATGACTGCTTTGAGTTGTTTTAGTGAATCATATTTTTAGCCAGCAATGTGGAGTAAAAAAAAAGGTCTGTTGACTCAGCTTTCTGAATATCACCATTGTTTAATAACCTGTTAGCTTAATTTTTCTATGTTATTATGGTAGTGTTATAACTTTCAGCAATTTTCTTTTGCTCATCCTCAATTGATTGCTTTTACAGATATCCTGGTACTTCACCTGGTTCATCTAGCTTAACAAGTAACATTAAGTTGAAATCACTACCAAATCCAAGATGGAAGAGAGCTGTCTTGAAAATTAGTGGTTCTGCATTGGCTGGGACCGGCCCACAGAATGTTGACCCAAAGGTTTGCTTCTCCTTTTAATGTTTATGGTTCTGTTGTGTTATTCTTCTATGATTGCATTTAGCCAAAGTGGAACTTTGGGAGCTTGTTGAAATTGCCCGAGTATAATACAGATCACTTTTCTGTTTCTTAGGTGATGATGCTGATAGCTAAGGAGGTTGCTATGGCAAGCCGTGTTGGCGTTGAGGTACTCCGTAGATACAATGGGGAAAGCAATTTACAATTATCTCATGCCTTCCTTTTTTTTGGATTTGTGATGAACTTTTAGGTTGCAATAGTTGTTGGATTTCGAAATTTTTTCTGTGGTGACGCTTGGGTGGCTGCCACTGACACGGACAGAACTACTTTATACCAAGTAGGGTATGCTTTCTCACCTACCTGTATTTTTTGGAGTAATCTAGTCTTATTTTTCTTATTTTTAGGTTTGGTCTACGTATTCTTAAGCTTCATATTTTGTTCTAGACTAAGGTTTTCATTAAGAGGCGTGTCTGGACTCTGGAGAAAGGGGATCACGTGGTAATTAGTGTTAATAATCAACCATCTAGGTACTAGTGTAAACAAATGGGCAATATGATAGGAAATACTTGAGTTTGCAAGTAATCCTATCGGATGTATTTGAGTTCGCAAGCAACCCTAACAAGAAGTTGGTAAAAACAGCGAGAAGACACAAGAACGAGAATGAAACAACCCAAAATAAATGTAGATTTTTATTAAATACTCAAAGCAAAGCAAACATAAGAAAAGATACAATTGATCCTCTATTCAAGAGGAGGATCGTTCTCTCCCAATCTCTAGATACCAAGTCTAGAGCCCAAGACACAAGATACTTCAAGAGAAAACAATGTTCAAGCATCACTACAGGAAAGCTGGAAATACGAGCTTTCCGGCGCATTTCCAACGCAAAATGCTTCGACGGTAATTCACGCGTTGGAAAATCAACACCGGTGATTTTTTTTCCCCAGAAATATTTCCAGCAGATTTTCTGGCGAAATACCGGCGAAAAATAGGAGCCGACGCCTTTTTTTGTGTCGTATTCTAGCGTAATATCCGTCAGTATTTTTGGCGGACAAGCTACATCGGAAATACCAGCGGATTATCCACCGCCTAAAAAATGTCGGCCTGTTACCGACGTACATTACTGTCGCAATATCCGCCGGAAGTAACGGCGCAAATGTCCGCCGGAAACGTCGTCGTATCGTATTACCGACAGGGTTTTCAGTGGAAAATCCGCCAGAAACCTGTAGCATAAAAAAAAAATAACCTTCCTCCTTTTGAAATTGATTCCCACAATTAAACCTGCTTAGAAAAAAATACAATACTATATACATTCATACATCAACTTCTGATCAAGAACATCACCAATTACATTATTAAACATAAACATATAACATAAACAAAAAGAGTATCATCAACAAACATCTAATAATAAAAAAAGTCAAGATGTCCAAACAACAAATAAATAAACATGTCCAAGAACACATAAATATGGATGTCCACATCAGTAAAATAAATAACATCTACTCTGATTCAGTCTCCTCCTCACCTGATGCTGTACTCTTCCCACTACTCATGTGCTCCCTCATCTTTTTCATTTCCTCTAACATTTGAGCTTGCTGCATCTCCAGCTGTTGCTACATCTGCATCTGCTGCTACTGTTGCATCTGCATCTGCCAGTCAGCTTGTGTTTTCCTTATCTGTTCTAGCTCGGCTGTAAGAGCAGATATCTGTTGAGTATATAAAGACTCTTGGGTATTAGTTGAGAGACAGTAGCCACCAGATGTCTGCCCCTCATATGCATAGGCTTGCGAGCCTAAATCGTATACTATGTCGTGTTACATTCTTCCTGCCACTTGCGACCAAGTGCAGTAGTCAGAATATTCCGCTGATCCACCAAAATAACCTTCACTTGCTGCAGCCTAACTCTCTAGAAGCCGTGTTTTTCAAATTTCAACTGCTGTCCTTGAAGCTTGCCGCAACCCTAAAAACATTTTTTTTCTACCAATGTGCCTTCATTGTGGTTGCTATCCTATCAATAACCAATGCAGCATTCATTGTTACCCTTCTTAATATAACCTTCACTACTACTCTTTGCCATTGCAATGTCTGAACCTAATTTTCCTCGAAGTTTTGACTTAAATGTAGGACTCTATGGTGCACCAAGGGACTTGATAATTCTACTTTTTCGGGACTAATTACCTTGTCGGGAATGATAGATTTGTATTTCTCAGCTTGAGGTTGAGTGTTTAAATCTCAACCATCTCTTGGCCTTTGATCCCACGGACAGCATGGGGATCTGTGGAGGCTCACATGGATCACGTTGTTAAATCTTTAGCCGTCCCTTGGCCTTTGATCCCAAGGCCAGCATGGGAATTTGTGGGAGGCTAACTTGGATCACGCTGATCTCCTTCTATATTTGGGTGGCTTGTTTATGAAGGATTATATTAGGACAATTATGTATCATTCTGTAATTATTTATTTCTTTATTAAGATATCTTGTGCATTTTCTCTCTCCAATTCTCAGAATTTAACAATAACTATAACCATACACTGTGAAATCAAACTTTCTCCTGAAACAACTTCACATTCTAAAAGTAAGACTATTGGACTCCTGGATAAAAGGTTCATTGCATGCTTTAATTTATCTATTTATGCAATCCAGTTAGAATGAAATGATGAATTACTTCAAAACTGGCTGCTGATTGTTCTTACAAGTTAGCTGCTGCTAACGAGGCTCAATGCATATTCTTGATAACAAACATTCATGCCTGATTGCTAATTTACTCTAATTCTCTTCCATGGGCAATTATTATATCGATAACTTCTGTGAATGGACAAGAAATATTTGAGCTAATACTTGTAATATTTAACAATTCAACAGGATGATGGCATCAACCATGAATGCCTTACTGCTCCAGGCCTCCTTTGAGAAGATTGGCATCGAGTCTCGTGTTCAAACTGCATTTATGATGCAAGAGATCGCTGATCTGTATATTCGGCAACGAGCGATCCGCCATCTCGAAAAAGGACGGATTGTTATATTCGGAGGAATTGGAACTGGATCAGGAAGTTCTCTCTTTTCCACTGACACAGCTGCTGCTCTCAGAGCGTCTGAGAGTAAGTTGCTATTTTCTTCTACTGAAGCTGGATTATTTACCCTCCCATTAACTATTTCTTCAATCTACTTAATAATATGTCCTTTAACAGTTAATGCAGATGCTGTGTTGAAAGGAACTACCTCAGATGGTGCTTATATCTGCCATTCCAGGAATGAAAGCTCCACATTTGAGCACATCTCATTCAGGGATTTAGCCAACAGAGGCTTCACATCAATGGATATGACTGCAATCTCTTTTTGTGAAGAAAGCAATATTCCTGGTTTACTTCCATCGACTCTTTTTTTTTTTTTTCAATTTTGCAAATGATCCTTTCCTCACATGGTTTAGAATTAGGAGATAAATAAATCCCCTTACTAGTTCTTTACTCTTCTTTTGTAGTTGTTCTGTTTAACCTTCTGGAACCTGGCAATATTTCGAGGGCCCTTTGTGGAGACCAAGTTGGCACCCTTATTGACCAGTCAGGGAGAATTAGTTAGCTGTGCTTTGTATATAGTTAGATTTCGTTTGTGACGGTTTTCTTCCTGCTTCTAAAAACGGCTTTTTAGTATAAATATTTTAATATTTGTACTAAAAAGCTGTTTTAAGAAGCTGTAAGAAAGCCAGCAGCTTTATTAGGATTTTGATTTCTTCTCTCTGCTATGGTCTAGATTTATGTGGACCTAGAGGCTCTTTTGCTTCTGCAGGAAGGGTAGAATTAGGAAACTATTCATTCATGCTGTGCATTGGGGATTCTGACTTGTATAATTAAGTTGCCTGATGACTGAAGAATGAATATAGAAAGAACAACTGGATGTACATTAATGGCTCTTTATGGATGTAACTTATTTATCTTCTGTAAATTATCTATAAGAACATTGCTGTAATTACTTTTTTGTGCAAAACATGCAATTTTTGTTCTTTTGCCAGTTTTTTTAGCTTGGTATTTTTGGCTCTCATGTTCCTCTGTTATCATTGATAACTTGTTTTTATGTCTTTCTTACTGCTTGTTAAAGTAGATTTTTAGTATAAAAATTGTAACTTTTGTAGTAGAAAATTATTTTAAGAAGCAGTAAGAAAGCCGTCCCAACGGTTTTTTTACTGCTTCTTAAAGCAGCTTTTTAGTACAAAAATTAAAATTTTTATATTAAAAAATTATTTTAAGAAGCAGGAAGATAGCCGTCACAAAAGAAGTCTTAGTTGTTCGGAATGGCTATTATGATTTTATCTTAGAGGTAATTTGCTATTTGGTAGATTTGTAATTAATAAAAAAATTTAGGAATTTATTATGATAGTCTCAAGATCTAACTTTTTACAATTTTTCTTATAAAAAAAATAACTAATGCTTTTTAAATTCAAAATTGTACGCATTGAACCATAGAGATGGCGACTTCGGCAAGTTAATAGCCTCCAACACCAATGAGCTGGCCTATATAAATTAATGATGAATTCAAGATAGATTTTGCAAATATTATATTTATTTTAAGCTTAATTCAATGCAAAATATATATATATATATATATATATATATATATATAATCCATTCTTTTTGCATGTCTTATGCTATCCAACAAAAATAATTGAATGAAAAACATAAAAAGTAGCTAACAGCTACTTTCTATGTACAAGAAGAATTGACTCTATCTTTCTTAAAGGATATGTCTTGTTGAAGTTGGAATTCAGGCTATGAAGCATGGATACATTGATGGAACATCTTATAAGGTATTTGAATAATATGGACATGAGTGCAAATTTGAAAATGTAGGTATAATTGGTGGATGTAATATGAACTGAAAACTTTTGTATGCATAAATGCATAGACAATTGCATGTATTGATATAGATGAAAAAACATCAATGCATTTTGCACTTACAAACATAAAATTTATAAATAAATAAATGACGACCAAGTTACATCTCATGTTGAAAATATATTGTATAAACATTTTGTAAACATTTTGAGCTCAACTCACATTTATTTTATTCCCAAAAATTTAGATGGTGAATTCCTCAAAAACTTTAGACCTATTAATTTGCTCATTGGAGCTTTAAAAAATTTCACTATAAGTTCTTCCTCATTTTCTAAGGTTTTCTTCCCAAATTGGTTTATGTTTTAGTTGAATTTTTTTTTTTTTGAACTGGGGTATTTCATATTTGTCCGAGAAGATACTTGACGGAGTAACTAATCTCTCGATGGGGCTAGCAGCAATCAACTCCACAGGTGCAGAACAACACTTATTTTCTCCTCACTTAAGCAGTCGTGTCGCTCGTGAGAGAAATCCAACATGGGTTGGAGATTCCGAACCATGCTCACCCACCAACAGAGTTAAGCCCGACGGGTCTTCAGTTGATTGGAGTCCGGACGGCATCAAAACTCCATACTTAATAATTTTTGTAATTATTGATGATTTCTACTGTTTGTGGTCCTGGCCAAAGTCCAAATCTCATTTAAACTTGTCTATAGGCTAATTAATTCTCATTTAACCCAAATTAATGACCTGTTAACCCTCCATTGCCTTTTGGCGAGGGATTTGGCCATCGCTTCCTATACATAACTGCGACTTCCCCTGTTTCCTATTCGGACTCTTCGGCTTGCCTTGCCCTAGACTTCCCGCTCACTGTCATTTTCTCCGGTAGGGTTTCTTCTTCAAAAATTTGGCCTCTTCAACTTGTACTATAACGGTTCTTCTTGCCTACATCTATCTATTAATAGAATACCATAGTAGCCATTCGCATTTCGGTTCCTGTATCCTTCCTCTAATCACGTCCAGCACGATCACAATCAACATTCGTTTGGATTTCGGCATTCCCGTCCGTTTTCATTTACCAATCCCACTTACTGAACCCTTCGTATACATAACAGTCACAGTAAATGCTGGAAGACGAAGCATTTTGTATGCCCAACGACTGAATCGCAAATGTTGGCATCTTGGAAGTTCTATCGGCAGCTTCAGGTACCTATAAATACCCATAAGATTGGGGATTTCTTTCTAGGCCGTGTTGATATACGGCTTTATAGTTGTCTTCTTTGTGTTTCACGTTCGATTTGTGTTTTTAGTACTCGGTCATTTTCATTTTTTGGAAGGAATGGAAGTTTGGGTGTGGAAGGAACTTATTTTATCCATGGATGTCCTAAACCCTACAATCGCTAATTCACTTCATCATAGTAGCAGCAGCAGTAACTTCCACAAAACAAATACTCAACTTCAAAATCCAAATACTTTTTAGACACTTACACTATTATCACAATAAAAAAGTTATCAATTATACTTCCAACTCTTTTTATGTTATATTTATTCATTTCAAAATAATTTGAATTTAAGCAATAGCATCTAAATAGTACACAAATAATAATGTAATAATTAATTAGTTAATTAATTTAAATTTTTTGTAATTATAAGAACTTAACTCTTGCACAGAAAAATTTTCAAATTTGAACTACAGAAAAAAAAAATCTCTCACGTTTTCTGTGATCCATATGTCTAATGTTTTCTTAAGAGGAGCAATCATCTTCCGAATTCCTGTTTGAAAAGAAAACCTGACACCACCATCCATTAAAAAATATAAAAGTTTAGAAGAATTTGATTTAGAAGGTACCAACATACCTTCACATGAAAATTGGCCTGCTAAACTCTTATTGCTGAATAAACTTACAACATACAATCTGAAAGAAAAAATAAAGGTCAATTCTCTATTCAACTGTGTATTACAAAACTAAGAATTAAGACCTAAAAAAAAAAAGATTACAAAATGTTAATTTATATCACACAAAGTTTCCCTTTGCCAGATTTTAGAAATTTTGGTGTATAAAGCAGGACAGTTTGATGCATGGGTTATGAACTGCTTCGATTTAGAGTCCTCACTTAGCTGATTTTTTATTTGTATGTGCGTTTGGATGGCTGCACTTGAAATATTTTTCAATAAACTGTCAGAGAAAATGTTTATTTGATTAGAATAAAGATCGCCAAGAAGTATCCGAGTATGAGTAATGCTACACTTTATAAAATTTTGACAAATTTGAAACTTAGGATTTGTTTGGAATACTTTTATGTTGCTTTTAAGAAATTTTTATGCTTCATTCAAACCAATGTTTTTCACAGACAGCCACTTGTGTCTCAGAAATACCCATAGCTTCTCATTGGTGCGATTTCTTTTTTATTTTTGCAAGTTTCGTTGGGATTTATGATCTCGTAGTATTTGCTTGCCATTTTCTCTTATTTTTTGGCATTTGGAATTTGTTATGCATGCAGACGAATTTTTGTTTTTGTTTTAAGGAGATCCTGATGTTGAAGGTAATTCTGAACCTTGTTTTTGGAGGCGTTCCACTGCCTTTTTCTTCTTCGAGTATTTGATGCTTTAAATATTTTTGATGAAACTATTTTGAACCGAAGGAAACAAAGGACTTGTCAGAATTGAGATTAATTGCCACAAGTTTGAAATCTAAGGATGAGTTTATTATCTTATGAATTGATCATTGTCATTGCCCTTATGAGTGAAAATAAGGGTAAATATTTATTTCTATGTATTGTCATTGCCCTTTTGTTTCGCCTCTCCCTCTCTATCCCTTGGTTCGCCATCTCTGTCTCTCTTTATTGATTGATCTTTTTCCGCTTACTCTATCACTTCAGTATCTTTCTCAGTCAATTACAAGTACACCCAAATTACTTATACCTCTTTGCTCATTTGCTTTCTCTGTCTCCCTGTATGTTTCTCTTTCTCACTTATGCTCTCATCCTCATTTCCTTCTCTCTTGCTGCTTTAAATGCAAAACCGGCTTGCCGGTTTATTCGAACTGGCATTTGTTGGTTCATCTCTCTTTTAAGTGGGCTATCACATCTTTATTAATTTCTTGCCCTGATTTCTGGTTAGAGAGAAACAAACTCCTCTTTATAGTTTGAAATTATCCTCATTCATTTTTTTTCTTCTCATTTCAAACTCTTAATCAAGCAAAAGTAACAACTTTCTTTGTAATTCTCTTGTTTTCTCTCCAAATTTGGACTTTCAATTAGAGTATAAATATAATACAAGATAATCCTAGTGAAAATAATATTTATATCAAATATGTAAAATAAAATATATGCGAGAAATAATCCAAAAATGCTATATTGAATAATTCTGAAGTGTTCTTGAAGCATGTCTTATACTTTTAAGACTGCATATTTTTAATGTTTCATTTTTATTTTCAGTTGGAGGCGGCCCGGCAGGCATCATCCATTGAAGATTTTGTTTTTGTTATCCTTCAAGCTTAACATTGTGTCTCCATGAAGAAACAAGCTTCATCAACTTTTAGTTTTGGGAAGACCACAGGTCCGGTAACACGAGCTAAAGCTGGCACCTTAGCTTCTCATGGCAGGATATCGCTGCCTAGACCACCGCCAAAACCAGATAAAAAGCAAAGACTGATAGGAAGAAGAAAAAGAGTGAAATCTGATGAGAACGATTGTGCTGTACCTAGTGTTGCAGTTTCACAGAACAACAAAAGAGAAGTGCTTAAGGATATCTCAGATTTATGCTGTGAGAATTCTTATAGAAATTGCTTGAATGCAGCAAAAATGCAGGTAATCCATGCTTTCAATTTGTTTTTATTCTGGTAAACTTCAAATTGAGTATTTTTATACCATCATTGGTTTATCAAGCATAAGTGCTTCACTTTCATTTCCCTTTTCATATGCTCAAATGTGGATTTTGGCCTTTTTTTGATATTTCTGTTCAGATCAAGGCTTGCACGCAGCAAGTCATATCAGGACAATCTAAAGCTAGAACAATGTCTGACCAAAAAAAGCTAAAAATTTCCCCTGCCGCTTCTGCCAATAGTATGCTATCTCATGGTGATGGTAACATTGGAAAAGACAAAGAAATGCAGAATGTGAAGATTTTCAAAAGAAAAGATAATACAGATTCAATTTGCACGAAGGACAGTTTGTTCACCGTACATGTTGAAGACAATGTTAATGATCGGGGAACCTCATTTCCTGCAGCAATGGTGGAGGGAAATAGACTAGGAGAGACTTGTAAGAAAGCGAATGGTTAGCACTCTGTGGCCGGCTTATACTTCTGAAACTACTAGAATTCTAAATCCCCTTTTAAGTCAGAGCAACATTGACGTGCTAATTTTATGGTTACATTCTTGGCCTGAACAGTGAAGACATTCCTGATTTTAGTTTTCATTTGACAGTTCATAAGTCAATTGAACCCCCTTTAAATCAGAGCAACTTTGATGTTCAAATTGTTTGGTTTCATGATTGGCCTGAACATTAAAGGCATTCTTGAATTTAGTTTCAATTCGATTGTTTATAATTCAATTGATACTTATAAATGCCTAATGCACATACCATGATTGATTTTAGTTTTTTTTCTCTGTGTTTCTTCTCGTGTTAATTATTCTATGAAATTCTGACTGTAGTTGAAGGCATTCTTTCTGAGGATCATGACAGCTTAAGTTGCTCGGGAGTTCAAGACATTGACTCCGACCTTTCAAACGCTCAAATGTGCAGCCCCTATGCCAGCGTTATTCATTATAACCTTCGAACTGCAGAGGTGATCCATGTTGCTCCTTTGACTTTGATACAACAAAAAGATTAGTAACTATCATGCGATCCTTTTTATCTGGATTGAAGGCCTTTCAGTAATCAATTTATGGCTTCTTTGCTAGAGTTGATGTATGGTTTTTAAAATTTCTTGCACAATTGCACGTCTTCTCTTCAGCCCAATTGAAGATTTACTCCATGAGTTTGTTTTTTTCTATGCTCAGCTTACTCGGAATCCCTGTTCAAACTTTTTGGAAACTGTGCAGCGAGATATCACTCAGAGAATGAGAGGCATCTTAATTGACTGGCTAGTGGAGGTATTCAATAGTTTGTTTGATGAGTTCATGTTTTTTGTCAAAACTTTTTTTAATTTGCATGCATATCATTTTTAACATTCAAACACTTTATCTTCCAGTTAGAGCAGTTGACAAAAATAAATATGGCTGCACCAAGCAAAACTTCTCCTGCCTGATTTATTATAAAAAAATATAAATTTTATGCAATTTTTCTTTATTCTGGCATGTGAAATTTGTAGGAAGTGATTAACTTGCGAGCGTCGGAAATTATATTTTTAATTCATAGCATTTACATCTACAATGCTGGGATATAATTTCCACTGTTTACATGTTTTGAATGGCTTATTTGGGATGGCTGCTGTTATAGCTGTTCTAGTTGTCTTTGTCCATCTACTGCTTGCATCACTATGATATAGGGAATTACTAGGGAGAAGAAGTGAAATTGGTAGGAACCCTAGGTGTGAAGGCACCTATCTCAAAAACTTTGACTAATATGTGAAGATCAATCACTTAATATGCCCTCCAATTCCTTTATAATTATCTCTGCTAACTGAATGAACTAATAAAATCATTCAAAAATAGCCATTTTAGAATAAAATATTGGACTTAGAAATCTACCGGAACAAGTGATGGTGATAAACTCAATGATTTGTATGAAAAAGATAAAAGAGATTGCAAAGTTGATCTATAGAAGAATTTGGTAATCAAAATGGGAAAAATAGCTGGATCCTTCTGGTGGCCGACTTTAAATGCGGCTTTTTTTTTGTAGACATTGCCCCTTAACATGTCAGCAATGCAGCAATGGGGCAAAAGATGATACTTTGGTTATTTAAGAATTTTTTTGTCTAAATATTCCTTGTTTGTGCATGTGCGACAAATTGCTTGCACAATAATATGAAATAGTGATAATTTAGCTATGTTTTTTGTGTTAGGAATACTAGTAATTAGCGGTTGATGGAGATAATCAAAGGGTTTTTTTTTTTTTTGAAAAAGTGTACGCAATGCTTTAAAAGGAGAACACTAAAATTTATATGGTTCAACTTATTTAAGCCTACATCGACGAGAGAGGTGAGGGGATTCGATCACTAATAAAAAAGCCATAATTATTTATAATATAAAGATACTTGCCAGCTCTTCCCAAAATTTGAATACACCCATGTTCAATAAAGAAAAAAGCCCCAATTCTTCCAAGATAATTAAGAAAAATAAATTGTAAGAGATAAACAAAGAGGAGGATCAATCGAATACTAAAAAATTAGCTACTTTCCTCAAAAAGGCATCAACAGTTTGTTAAGATCACACTTTGAACTACTAAAAATGAGTTTTTGATTTCTTTCTCTTTATTTCACCTTCTCCCCCTCTTATCTTTCTTCCCAGTAGATTTTTAAATCCTTCACAAAAATCTTAAGATCGCTTCATGCTTGTATGCCAATTAAGCTACCATGCATCAACTTATATAACCACCTATCTAATGCAAAGCTACAAATTCTTTAAGTTTCTACGTGTGAAACTTGATACTTACCTCATTATGTGATTCATACGGGAAGATCGGGTTGATACCTAACAAATTGCTCAACCTATTTTCTAGTTTTCACACAAAAAAATCTTGAAATATGTGGTATCATATAATTCATTCTAGAAATTTAATCAATGCCTAAGAAATCCCCCCTACTCAATATTATGGCAAAATATGTATTACTCAGAGATTCCTCATCTCCAGGCCAAGTATTCTAAACTACAAAAGCCTCAAAGGGCTTCTTAGCACCTTGCAATCTTATCCTACTTAAACGTCACTTGAATTGAGTACTTATGAGAGACTTTTGTAACACAAATGTTGTTTTTATCTTTTTGCACCATCAATCCTGATCATGCACTTGCCTTTGATTTTTTTGCACTCCTAAGTAGTCGTCCCCTAGCCATGAATGCTTCAAAATTATGATCTGGCATTGGATCAGACTCTACAACACAAGATTGATTTTCTTGATCGCCTTTAAAAGTCTCCCACTTAACTTCTTCCTTTATTTATTTTGAAGCATCTCTTGTATCTTGGAAGTTAACTCTCCTTGGCTTCCTCCGAATTATGAGTCTTTTATAATGTTTTTGAATTCAATACATCAACTATTGACGTTGCACTTAAAAAAAGAAATAGATTCCATTATATTCATTGGATGCGAATATATTACGGGATTAGCACCCTTGGGTCCACCTCCCTTGAGACATGAAAAGCCACCATTGGGATATGAAAAGCCACCCTTGAGATATGAACAACCATCCTCTAGACATGAAAAAGCCACCATTGGGATATAAAAAGTCACCCTTGGAACATGAAAAGTCACACTTGGGACCCTCCACACCTTTAATTACCTACCATAGAAGGAATTTCTAAGTGGTGTATAAATAGGGCTATTTTCTTTAAGTTTACCAAGTGTTGATTGCTATTTTTTTTAGAGAGGAGTTGTTGTATTCTGGGTTCCTAGTTGCGCCTAGGTTTGGGAGAATCTATCCACCCTCCAATAGTGGATCACTTGTACCTTATGGTGTTCTAACATCTATTTCCCGTGTTTATTTCGACAATATAATTTCATATTTTAATTTTCATCTCCTACAAATCTATTCGTTGTTTTCTCGCTGTTTTTGCCTTTCAAGCTGTAACACAATACAATTTAAAGTATGCCTATAAAGCATAAGGGCTTTATCATTACTAGAGAACTTACATCTTGCAATAATGAGAGCACTTAACTGCATTATATTTTTTCCTAAATCTAACACTATCTCCAGACTATGAATAGTCACAGCATTATGTGGCCTCAACTTCACAGTGTTAGAACCTCTAGTTTTGCACATTATTGTACTTCTTATATAAACTTAGCTTCCATGACTTGTTGCTCATACTTGAAAAATATATCTAAAATAAGATACTTGTGGCTTGAACGAGTGTATAAGCCATTGTTTTTTGCATATGACTTAATCAGTCACCAAGAAACATAGTCCAATTCTCAACAATGTGCAATTACAGCTACATTGGCTAACTTCTCTTTTTAGTTGTGAACTTGTGATATGCTAGTTGCTCTTTCCACTTCAAAACATGGCAATCTAATTTATGTGACATTTTATCTTAAGATAAAAGTAAGCGATATCCTTGTAATTACTCCTATAATGATTAGAGGGGTATCATATTTTACAACTCAACTTAACTTAACTTATATATCATAACATATTATATTAAGTCGGGCATGAGATAGATTTTGTCCAAGATCTATTTGATTTTTTTTACCATTCAATTTGACAACATAGAGCCACTAAACCATTAGTATATAGAAATAAAATATAAGCCATCATCCTATATATATATATAGACACACACACACATTTGGATTATTTACATCCAAAATATATGCATACTGTAATCATGGTTTTTCAATACATTCAACAAAATATATTTATCCATATTTATAGAATAATCATCTATAACAATAAAAGTGTACTTCTAACAATAAAATCATAACGGTACTCTATTGGGGCCTTACCTTTTTCTGAAAGATATAAATATAATAAAGAATGAGCAAACGACCCAGTAGGTTACATGAAACTTACAATTGTATTCAATGCAAGAAAATGAAATAATATGCATGCTATCAATTAGTTTTGAGAGAAAACTAAACATATATTGAATAAGTAATTCTCTATGCTACATCAACTCCCCCTTATATCTCCCATCCTGCATTGGGTTTACACTACTTATATATTTAAAGTAAAGCTCGTCGACACATCCTCTTACATAGGATATCATATCTCCGTCATTTTGAATTATATAGTAGTTAGCCTTTCTTGCATGCACATATTTCGCACTATTTATAACATAGTAAACATCTGATACCGCGCTCAATATTTAACTTATTGTATCATTTCAAGTGCATATAAAATTTACATGTATAAAAATAGTGAAATTCTAAGGACAATTCAATATGCTCATTTTCACATAATAACCACAACAAATAAACTATAGTAGATATGATGTCATCCATTTTGTATAAATTTGATGCAACAAATATTTATTAAAATTTGAATTTATTTGTCTTACTCAACCTAGATAATATGTTTTAAAATACTACAATATCTGGCGAAAACTCAATATGATTATGTCAACATTTGCAGAACGAGTACAATTATTACATACTAAAATTTTCACTTTGCAAGTTTTTTAAAAATTAAGATATCACAGCTTTTGTAAGTTCTTATCAAATTAAAATATAGAAAACACAACATAAGCAAAATAACTAAAATCAGAGGCAAAGTAATGGTAGCTTATCTCCAAACGAATAATATTCCCAATTGGCCTGACCGACAAAATCGACTCTAAGCCTCAAAACCCTGACTTCTCTCTCCTCCCTCTCTTTTTCTTCAAAATTTTCCTCTTATCCTTCTCTGGTTTGGAACTGAAAATGGCTAATAGATGCTCTTGATGTGGGATTGATTTTTATAATAAGGTATGTTAAGGGTATAATTATAATTATAAGAATTAATTAATTTTAAGCTTAAAGTTTATATAAATTTTTTTATATCTTCAAATCCGGAGTTTTAAAATTATGAAAAAATATCTTTAAAATAGCTTATCAAGTCCAGAATACTCTGTTGAAATTATTTTGCTAAACAAACACCAGAGGATTTTAGAAAGCTCACATGTACTAACATGTATCAATTTCTTAAGAATTACAATTAAATAAACAATCTCTTATTTTCATATCTACGATGCCTATAAAATTATGAAAATTTTGTTATAATTGGAACATAACATTATCTATGATATAACGAATACGGTTTACAAATCCGACTTGTAACCATTTAATAAGATTATTTGTTAAAAACATGTCTTATAAAATTTTAAGGGATCATGTCTTTGTTTTGAATCAAATAGTTATTAATTTTTTTAAGACCAAAATAATTTTAAAATATATTTTAATAAGCATGTTAAAGCATCTCATCAATCAAGTTTTTATTTATATAAATATTTTTAAAAAGCA